CCCAGATTTGCTTATGAAGTGGACAAAACTGTTGGGAAAGACTGAACTTATTTACTTTGGGTAAGATGACAGATGCCAAGAATATGACCACTGTTTTGACGGTTCGATGAATTAACATTTTCCTTTCCAAGATCACTTGTGGGCAAATTGTGCAAAAGGGGCTTTAAGTGGGTCCCCACAAACCTTCACATCACCTAGGAATTAATTCCGCTTTTGAACCAGTTTCCCTTTGTAACTCAGGTGGACCTCCAACTCATGATCCTGCTGTCTCAACCTCCCCAGTGAAAGGATCACAGGCATGCACCCAATATTCCTGGCCTACACTACTAGTTCTTCAATGTAGCTGTTATAGTTTGACTTCCAGAGTCAAAAGCATGGAGGCCTCTCCAGTATGATGTTTGTATACGGCTTTAAAGCTCACTAGAACCCAGCCTATCAGACTTCTTCCCTAACCACTTTGGTCACACAAAGACCTGTTCTTGTTCCTGAATTTTGGGTTATGGGGTTGAATTTCCTACTGTATCTGCTTTTAATATGTTGTAATAGGTGCTGTAAAGAACTATTTGCAGTCTTTTTTCCCTCACAAAGAGCACTATTTAGCATCATGTGCCCTTTGGGAGGACTCTTGAAGAAGGAATATTACTCTGACCAAGTTGCTACACAACTACCATGTCTGTTTCTCACCGAGCTCAGGATATGGCCCAGTTCACTTTCCTGCAAGCATGAGTCTCTGGATTAAGTCTCCAGTACGACACACATACACACAAAGAAATTACTCCATTGAAGTAGTTATATTCCAATGTTTTGTGGTTACTAGGAAACTCAGAGTAACATATGTACCTCTTTAGTGCTGACTAGAATTGGCTATTTTGCTCAGGGCTGATCTTCCAATTGATCTATATCTTCAACACTAAAAGTATTCTTAAGCCATGATTTTATTCGCATCAGATTTTCTTATGGCCTTGCTTTATGGTCCTGACTTTTGGGAAGAAGGGGCAATTAAGGCTGGTTAATTTTTTTGCTGTTTTTTTTATAGTACTGAGACTGAACCAAAGCCCTTGCACATGATGTACTACTGATCGGCCCCTCCATTTTCAAAATGTTTATTTATTGTGTGCATGATGTGTAAGTCTAGGGGTGCTTGTGCCATGGTGCACTTGTGGGGGTCAGAGGACAACCTTGTGGAGTTGATTCTCTCCATCCATCTTTGTGAGGGTTTCAGGATGGATGCCAGGTTGTCAGGCTTGTACAGCAGACGCCTTTACCCTCTGAGGCAACTTGATGGCCCTTCACCCATCTTCCACCTTTTAATTTTTGTCCAATGCATGTTTTACTAAATTGCTCAGGTTATTCTTGAACTCATTCTGTAATCAGGGTAGGTTTTGGAATCTCAAACACCAAGCCTCAGCTCTCCAGAGACTATAGGGATTATAGACTTTTATCACCAAGTCTTGCCCATTTTTACCTTATATAATAATTAACTTCATGTTCCACATAGAGGGACTTGCTTTATTATTATTATAATACTCCTTCCAGAAGCCATAGACTAACAAGTAAAAACCCAGTGCTGGTGTGAGATATCTCCCGTAAAGTTGTTGGCCAAGGGGAGTCCAAAGACCCTCAAGACAATTCAAGCTGTTGCCATCCTTCTTGGCTATCCATCAGAAGGTGACAGTATGACCACACTGTTGAAGACAGCATACTCTTTGGCCATAGGACTTGAAGAAATCAAGTCAGTACTGGCCAGAAACCTTTTTATCTGTTGGTTAGCTACAATAAGATGAAATGGTACTATGTAGGATGATTCAAGAATACACTCATCAGTAGTCTTGATATGAACCTAGAAATCCGTAATAAGGACTTTCCTGACAAGAACATGAGTTTAATAGTGGCCTCAACGTTATGGGGTAACCAACAGTAGTCTCATATGATTTGAGGTCTCCTCCACTGGAGAAAACCCAAAACTGGCATTGTAAATCTTGTGGCTAGGAAGCTCATAGACTCTGGAGTCGAACTTGTTACTTTTATTTTGCTACATGGGCATAGCATCAAAATTGCATGCTGAGTGCATATTCTTATACAGACAGATTAGAGGAGGGGGAAAATGATTGTAAGGCCAGACATCCAGGAAGACGGAGCAAAACAGTGTCCTCTGGACAATACAGGACCACCGCATTCACAGTAGCTGTGGTTGCCTGCACCAGACTTTCATAAGACTAACACATGATTGTCCCCTTAGCTGAGGAACTATTGACAATTGCCAGGGAAGGGAGAGTTGATTTTCTTTAGAGATATGGTCCTTGGTAGTTTGAGCATGCTCTAGTAGATGATCCAACAGCATAAATAGGACACCATGGAATATGCGTGTAATATATGACATTGTCACGCCACCTCCTGCGGAGTCTGCATGGTCTCTCACGTAAGACATGGCACAAGCTTCAAGGAAGCGTGCCCACAGAGAAGGTATGCGTGCTGTGCTTCCTGCATTGGAGCCCTTGCACTTTTTGCATTACCTGCTCATGTTCTAAGGAACAGTCTGGTTTCTTCTGAAAGGGAAGACAGTATGTTTAAGTTTCCAGAGTCTACTGATGAGCCACTGCCATATACAGGAGGATACGATGCTAATGGAGGAAGACGGGTTAACATTCAAGGCAAAAAGGTTTCCGGGTTTAATCTGGTGCTTAGTAAATAAAGAGCAAAAGGCAAACTTAGTTAAGCAATTAAGACAGATTCAGCAAAAGGGATGAGGATAGGAGAGAGAGAGAAATGTCTGTAATGTCTTGAGATTGGTTTGAAAAGGAGTTAGAAATACGGAGAAGGAGAAGAAAAGAAGAAGTTCTTCTGCATAGATGACAGAAATATAGAAAGACTGTAGACTGTGTGACTGTCTCATAGCCTAGATAAAGATTTATATCCTGAGACCCTGTCCCATCGGTCCCAATACCCCGGCTGAGTTGGTCTGTCGCATGATATAAATTACATAAATAGCTGGGTGGTGGTGGCTCACACCTTTAATCCCAGCACTCCAGAGGCAGAGGCAGGCAGATCTCTGTGAGTTCAAGGCCAGCCTGGTCTACAAGAGCTAGTTCCAGGACAGGCTCCAAAGCTACAGAGAAACCCTGCTTCAAAAAACCAAAAAATTACATAAATATTTTATGAAGATGTATATATGCATATATATTTATGAAGTTAGGGAGGGAACATTGGGTGGTCTTTAGGAGGAGTTGGAGCGGGGAACATCAGGAGTAAATGACCAATGTTGTATACATATATGAAATTCTGAAAAGAACAACCATATATATCTCAATCCTGGAGCACTGGGGTATGCTTGAAACCCCAGGATTTACCAGGCTCGGTCAAGACTACAATGAATTTGAGGCTAGCCTGGACTACATGACAAGACCCTATCTCAATAAGAACACAATAAAATAGAACACTTGAAAACCAACTCATGTATTTTTCAGCCATTTTAAATCCTGTTTGGATTTAGATGAAAGAAAAATGAAAACTTTAAAATTAGCATTCAACTTTCATAAACCAAATTTTTTTCCTGTTTTCAGATCAGCACACAGATCCAGCTTCCCATGCCTTTATTCCCCACTGACTTCTTTCTTTGACATCTGGTATTAATACAACTCTGTACTTTTCTAAATAATTTGACTCACTAGTGTTTTATGTGAATTAGTCCTATTTTCCCAGGTTGTGTATTTTTTTTTAATCACAGGATTGTAGCTTATATTTTCTTAATCTAGTTAACTAATACTCTGTCAAGAAACGTTTATGTAAGTCCCAAGTCCCTGTCTCTGACCTCCATCTTTGGAGGCCCCATCCCTGTGCCTGCCAAGCCTTGACTCCTCCCCAGAGGAGTGTCAAGACAGCCTGCCAAAATCTTGACCACTCCCCAGCCTATTTAAACTGCTGGGATTAAACGGCCTGTTTTATTTGCTTGCTTTTAGTTTTCAAGACAGGGTTTCTCTGTGTAGTTCTGGTTGCCCTGTATCTTGCTTTGAAGATAAGGTTGACTCAAACTCACAGAGATCTACCTGCCTCTGCTTCCGGAAGTGCTGTGTGCACCACCACCGCCCTGCTGCCTTTTTGTTTTTGTTTTTGTTTTTTCAAGACAGGGTTTCTCTGTAGCTTTGGAACCTGTCCTGGAACTAGCTCTTGTAGACCAGGCTGGCCTCAAACTCAGAGATCCGAAAGCACTCAGAACATCTTATTTAGGAGTACAGAAGCCCAATATTGTCCATAGTTATCTAAGCTTGCTCTCTAGTCTTCAGACTATTTAGATCATTCAGTTAAAGAGTGTATTGGTCCATGCCTGTACTCCCAGCTCACTGGAGGCTGAAGGAGGAGGATCAATGAGTCTGAGGCCAGCCTGGGTTACACAGTGAGTGCTGGCCCAGCCTAGGTAACATAGCAGGTTCTGTCTCACAAACAAGAGCACACACATTTAATGAACCCCTCTACCCGGATTTTTTTGTTGTTGTTGTTTTCTTTGAGACAGGTTTTCACTTTGTAGACCAGACTGGCCTTGAACTCTCAGTGAGCCCTCTGCCTCAACCTTCTGGCTGTTGGGAGTACAGGCCTACAGCACCACATCTGGCTAGTGTTCTTCGACAGGACATCCACCCTCATAAAAATAATGTTGCAGTGCAAGGCTAACGTCTGTAGTAACTTGGGGGGGGCGTATTCTTATTTCTCCAACAGGTTTTTGTCTGCATCAAAAAACGTGGGTGATTCAGGACAGGTCCATACCCAAAAGGACATAATGTGGCTGCTAACTATGGCATGGAAAGTCCACGGTTTTGGCAACCCTGAGCAAATGACCTTTAGCTCCTGAACCGTAGTGCCAACTGACTATCCCAGCATGCAAAGAGGCAGCCAGCAACAAAGTTGCTGCAAAGCTCACAGGCACAGGCGCGGGCTTCTTAAGCGAGGACTACAAAACCCAGCATGCAATGCAACACCGACGAGTCCCTGCGCGCTGACGTCTAACTCTTCGCGCCTTAGTCTGTGGCTAGGGTTGGCTGTAGGAAGGGAGTGTTTACTTCTTTTCCCCCTGCAGCTGTGTCTTTTATTAGACGTTCTGTCCGGGGTCCAAGATGGACAAAGTTTGTGCGGTTTTCGGAGGCTCCCGGGGGATCGGCAGGGCTGTAGCCCAGCTAATGGCACAGAAGGGCTACCGTCTGGCGATCGTCGCCAGAAACCTGGAAGTGGCCAAAGCCGCCGCCGGCGAGCTTGGCGGTAGGTACCTGAAGAAGTGCCCCCGCCGCGCGGCCGCGATGCCAGCCGTCGAGCCTGAGTCCACGAGCTCCGGGTCACTGGCCCTGTAGATCAGTCTGCGCCCAAGATCGCTCGTGACCCATGACCAGGTCCTCAGTGGTGCTCTCGCCCGCCCCAGGCAGATCTCGAGGACCCCTGAGAAGTAGCTATCTCCCCACGGCCAGTACGAACAGTTGACAGCCTTCTTGCTCGGACCTCTGGTAGGAGAGAACCTTCCCTGGTGAAGTCAGGAAGGTCAGGCTGCCGGGTAGAGACGGCTAGATTGCATTTTCCAGAGAGCTCTTCTTGCCCTACGCGAAGAAGGGCACACAACAGTATTTCAAAGAGAAACCTGACTAGCAAGCCCGACGATAGATCAGGGCTGCTTTCCCAAGTTGACCAAACACTTTAATAAGTCATTAATTAGTTTCGCCAGATCCTTTTAATTGCATTCCAATTCGAGCCCCCCCCCCATTATTAATAACAGATTAGCCATTAAAGTGCGAGTTTAAGTCTCGATGATTGTGAGAAGACAACATGGAAGACAGTGTTGTTAGTAGAATGGAGAAACATACATGCCACTATCAGGAAAGCATTGGGTATTACAGGTTTGAAGGTGTAGCTATATATATGGCAACAGTCTTGATAATGTAACTCAGACTGGCTTTGAACTCATGATTCTTGTGCCTCAGTTGCCCCATTGTTGAGATTACCTTACTTTGCTGTGACATCTTTAGTACAAAGCACACTTTGACCCTGCTATGTGATGTCTACTTCCAGGCTTCCCTGCTTCACCGGACACTGGGTCTCAGCATGCAGTCTAGGCTTCCCTTGGATCCAGACTGCTAGATTCCAGCTTGCTAGACAGCTATTACTCCTTGTGCTTCCTCTGGGATCCCCTCCATGCATCTTGGCTACCCAATAAGATGTACCTCTGTCATAAACTAAGGAGCATGTTTATTAACATGGTAACTTGTTAAATAGACAATACTTTTCCTTTGAAGTATAATTGCTTGTGTATGGTAATAGGGATAAAACTCAGAGCTCTACTGAACCACCTCTCCTGCCCAGGCTGGCCATAAACTTACAGCTGCAATCTCCTGTCTTAGTGCTGGGACTGCAGGCATGCCCGAATTTTATTGCAGGCTTTAAAATTACATTTCTTTTATTTAGGTGGGTGGGTATGTATACGCTATGGCGCACGTGTGGAAGGCAGAGGACAGTCAGCCCTCTCCTTCCACCATATGAGCTCAATTAGCAGGCTTAGTGGAAACTACCCTTACCCAATGAACTATCTTGCTGACCCCAACGATTTTTATTTTGAAACATTCCAAGATTATTTCTTCTGAAGGACTTGAGGTCTCACTTACCCAGGATAGCCTTCAACTTGTGAATCCAGCAAGTCGCGGCACTGTGGATAGCCTGGTACTACTGTGCTTGGCAAGAAAACCTCAAAGTTCCAGTTAGTTTTCTGTGATAGTTTATTTCACGTGCCCACTGTAATCCTAGCATTTGTAGGGTTAAATTCTGAGGCCTCCCAAGGTAGTGTAGTAAGGCATTGTCTCAGAGTAAAAACAAACACAAGAAGGAAGAAATAAAGCCTCATTATTTCTTCTTTACCTCTGCCCACTGTGTCCCTTACCTTAGGTGGTCCATGGGCACAGGAACTCATGACATGCCTTCATCTCTAGGCTCAATAGGGCTCTCCTTATAGTGTAATCATATTGCAAATAAGTTTGAAATTCAGTGGAGATTTACAGGCAATTCTGATTTAACTTTGTTTCGTAGGAAACCACTTGGCATTTAGCTGTGATGTTGCTAAAGAGGAGGATGTTCAGCATACGTTTGAAGAGATGGAGAAACATTTGGGTCCGGTCAATTTCCTGGTAAATGCAGCTGGCATTAACAGGTTTGTTAAACATTAAGGTAAATTTCTTATGTCCTTTTTAAAACAAGATTTTTCTTACTAGGTCATGTCTTGGTTACTTTTCCACTGCTGTGACAAAATACCATGACCGAGGCAATAAAGTGTTACATTGAGGTATGGTTTCAGAGTGTTGGAGTCATGTTGGCAGAGTCAAGTCATAGGGACAGCAAGGCTGCAGACTCCTGTCTTGATCTGTTTATAGGAGGCAGAGATGGGGTACAACAGGAATGGGCCAGCACTTAGCTAGAAAGCACAGCTTATACTATATTTTAAATCAGGATGGTAATTATGTTTTAACTTGATTTTTAAAAAGATCTTCTTTTGCTATAAATGTTGTGTGTCTGGGACTGTGCACATGGATGCAGTTGCCTGTGGAGGCCTGCAGTGGACGGTTAATACCCTGAGGCTGGAGTTACAGGAGGTTGTGAGATTCCTGATGTGGGTGCTGGGAACTGAACTCGGGTCTACTGAAAGAGCAGTTGGAGCTCTTAACTCTGAGCCAGTTCTCCAGCCCCTAGACATGAATGTTTTGTTCTACTTGTTCATGTTCTGTTCTTTCCTTCTTGTAGAGATAGTCTCCTAGTGAGAGCAAAAACTGAAGACATGGTATCTCAGCTTCACACTAACCTCTTGGGCTCCATGCTGACGTGCAAGGCAGCCATGAGGACGATGATTCAGCAGGGTGGATCCATCGTTAATGTAGGTGAGTGCTCACCTTCGTGGGTTTCTAATCATGGCATATAAACATCAGAGTGCTTAGTCCACTGATTTACTTGGTCAACAGCGAAGTTTATCCTTTTGGTATCTATGAGAAACATATTTAACCGATGAATGAATGAGACAAACTCACATGTAACATGAGGGGGGCCGGCTTGTTTGTGTTTTTCTGTCCCACCCAGTACCCCAGCTGTTTAGTCCCAGAGAAAAATCACACAAGAGATTTCTATAAGTTTAATGCTGATTGGCCCATTAGGTCAGGCTTCTTACTGGCTAACTCTCACATCTTGATTAACCCATTTTTCTGCTCTATTTTAGCCATGTGGCTCAATACCTTTTTCAGTGGGGCAGCTCACATCCTGCTGCTTTGGTAATCTGGGCAGGAGTGGGAGGAATCAACTTCCTCCTCCCCAGAATTCTCCTGCTTTCCTTGCATCATTTCCACTTCCTGTCTGGTTTTCCCACCTACACCTCCTGCCTGGCCAATCAGCGTTTATTTAAAACATGATTGACAGAATACAGACAATTCTCCCGCACTCACAGATGTACATCTCTACAGGAGTCAGTTAGGCGGTAAATGATAACTTACCAAGTATTAAAAAATGACGTCTAGATTCAGTGTTCTAAGACTGTATGGCATGGGAGAGGCCACAGCTGCACACATCTAGATGTCTTGTTGTGTATGAATGCTGTACCAATTCTGTCAGCAGTTTCAATTTTCAAGACAAATCAGGCATCCCATTTTCTTTCTTTTCTTTTCTTTTTTGGTCAAATCTATAATGATTGTAAGAGCCAAAGGGCCAGATGATGTACTGTGTGATTGTGTTTCCTAGAGAAACCAGGATGCTACACACATGATACCTCAACAATATGGCTGCCTAAACAAGACCTGGACAGTGATATATCAGTGGGTGTCTTAGGGTTTCTGTTGCTGTGAAGAGACAGCATGCACATGACAACTCTTATAAGGAAAACATTTAATTGAGGTGGCGACTTATATAGTTTTAGAGGTTCGGTATATTATGGCAGGGAGCCTGGTGGTGTGCAGGCAGACGTGGTACTGGAGAAGGTGTTGAGAATTCTTATGTCTTTGCTCATAGGCAGCAGGAAGTGGTCTGTCTTATTGGGTGTGACTTTAGCATACATGAGACCTCAAGGCCCACCTCCACAGTGTGACACTTCTCCATCAAGGCCACACCTGTTCTAACAAGTACACACCTAATAGTGCCACCCCCTTTGGGGGCCATTTTCTTTCAAAGCACCACAGTAGACATTATTAAGACAGAGGGGGGAAAACCTCAAGGGGTCCTGTCATACCCCTAAAGAAAGAACTACAGGAAACTAAGGGCTGCTGAGAACAGAAGTAGCCTTCCCCAAGGATGAACCCCCTAATTGGCTATCCAGTACCAAGTGATCAGGCCTGATACCCTTACATACAAGCAACACTAGAAAGACTCAGGTTGTTTTTATGCATTTATATGTATGTAACAATAATAATAAAGAGAAGAAGAGTCTTAATTTGAGAGCCTGTGAGGGGCAACTGGGAGGGTTGGATGAAGGAGGAGGTAGACATTTTATTTTTAAAAGTTGCAAAGAAATCCAACCTAATTTTTAAAATTAAAAAGAAAACTTGTGGACATGGAGGCTAAATAATAATTACTTATAGCAATTGCGTGGCTCGCTGACCGATCTGGTGTCAGGGTTTCACAAGGAAGAGGCGCTGTGGGCTCAGGCCTGAAGACAGAAAGTACAGAATGACATGGAATTTGATTTCGGTTTAGTACCTAAGGTTTGCAGCAGACCGTCTGCTTTTTATTTTCAAGTGAGAAGCAATGCCTTAAATGGCTGCAAACGGGTCACAGTGCTTGTTAGAGCTCTCTCTTAGGGGGAACTGGTGACCTGTGGCCTTCTGACGTGGCCACTTCAGATTTGGGGTTCTTAAGAACTGTCACCCTGGCCCAAGACTGTGCTTGGACGTCACAGGGCAAATCTGTTAAAACACCTACATTTTAGATAAGTTTCAGAAACCTAAATCCTCAGACTCTTAGAATGTTGCTAAGACAAAGTGAACATACTTATCCTATAGAAAAGTAGCACAGGAAGGGCTGAACTTGTAGACCTGATATTTCAGAAGTCATTACTTGGACCAGATGAAACCGGAGTGTGGCCTAGGTGCTGCTGTGAACGCTCCTTGTTGGACCTTTCTGCTGTGCCTGGAACTTCCCGTTTTTTTCTGTTTTTCTTCCACACACCTCTTATCCTGTCCGCCACTTTTCTTAACCTGGTGGTTTTCTCTCTTCCTGTGCTGCCTCGTTTTCTTCCTCTCTCTGCCGACGAACCACAGTTGGTGACGGGCTCGCGACAGCTCAGTTGGTGCAGGCCAGAGAGATGGCAGTGGTTCTGTAGACCACTTTTACTATTTTACTGTCTTCTTCATGCTTAGGCACGCATACACCTGTCATTGTTCACGTGTCTGTGCATTCATGTTACACAGGCTTGTGTCGTGGGAACAGTGGGAGATGCCCCATAGTGCAGAAGAAGTGGGCATCACAGCACGTGTCGGTGTACTCGGGAATGCTCGCAGCACTGTGGAACCACCCTGCAGTGGCACCTGGCAGGGGCCAGTTACTGTCATCAGGCAATGGTTGACTGTATAATATAAGTAAACATTTTAACATTGGGCTTCTTGAGTATAAGAAAAAGTGGAATATTCTCTTTTTCTAAAGTAATTTCAATTTTCTGTTTGTGTGTCAGGTTCCTGTTTAATTTTTGTGTTGTAAGCACAGGCCAGTGGTGCAGAAAATTACTTCCCTACTCCTGTTTTTTTTTGCATAAATTATATGTATTTGCATAAATTGATGTTTGAATTATAAATTATTCTTACATATTTATTAGACAAGATCACTGAGTAATATTTAGTAGCAAGTACCAGGTAAATTTAAACAAAAGTTGTAAAATTTCACTATTAAGAAGTTCGTATCGTCAGTATTGATTGACAGTAGTTTTAATGTACTGAATTCATTCTTGGAGGTGAGGGTGGATCTTGTTCATATCTACAATGGACTCATAAACTAATCAGCCTTTATTTTACATCATCTGGCTTTAACCTATTTCTGCCTGTGCTTGTTACCTTTCTGTTGCTGTGATAAGCACCATGGCCCAGAATACTCATGGAAGAGAGAGTTTATTTTGGCCTATGGTCCCTGAGGGATACGAGCCCATCATGGTGGGGAGGCAAGAGACAGGCATGGTGGAGAAGCAGGAAGCTGAGAGGTGATGACATCTCAACCACAAGCATGAGGTAGAGAGGGAATTAGAAGTGGGGTGAAGCTACACACTCCTAAATCCTGCCCCTCCCCCCATGACACACTTCCAGCAAGGCCACCCCTAAAACTCCCTAAACAGCAGCACCAACTGGGGCCAAGTGTTCAGATGCCCGAGCCTAGGGGGACTTTTCTCTTTCATGCTATCAACCTGCCCACCCTGCATCCTTATTGAACCTCTTCCACCCTTTCATGTACAGAACAGATCATGTAAGCCCCCTCCCTGTCCCTGGTGGTATAGCATCATTTTCTTTCAGTTCCTCTTTGCCCTGTGTGTCACGATCAGGTTGACCCCCTTACCTGTTACTTGTCAAGGACAGACAATGCTTAGAGTTACTCATTTTAGCAAAGACCGGAGGAAGGTGGGTTCCCCTTTCTGTCTGTGGACTGTGCATTTTGTGAATTTTCAGAGTACAGAGCAGCTGGTTTACACTCACTTCATTTCCTCTTTTCTCGCAGGGAGTGTTATTGGTTTCAAAGGCAATGTGGGTCAGTCCGCGTACAGCGCCAGCAAAGGAGGGCTCATCGGGTTTTCACGCTCGCTTGCTAAAGAGGTTGCGCGGAAGAAAATCAGAGTCAATGTGGTTGCACCAGGTCAGTGAAGACTGTACAATAACCGTAATGTGGTTGATGGGCAAATTGGTCGTCATTAACTGACATTTGGGTAGTGTCCCTCTAAGATCATTGTGGAACGAGATAATAAACTAGCGACGAAAGATTTTTCCTTATGTTTTACATAAGATTCTTTACAAGCTAAGGGATACGTTATGGTAAGAGAACCTTGGAGATCACCTTGTGTTTTGAGATGGGGTCTTCACCATACTCTCTAGTACAGGGATCCTAGGCTTGCTCTGCCACACGTGGCTTATTCCAGCCACACCGACAATTTAGAAAATTGTGACCAGGGGTTCAACATTATCTACCTAAAGCTACCTGGCTGCTTCATGGGGAGCTGAAAGATAATGTCCCCAAGGTGTCCCTTAGAATTATAATATTTATGTCTGTTTATCCTTCTGCTACTGTCTTTCCTCTTAATGCTCTGGGATTCTCCAGTGTCTTAATTGTGTTTTTATTTCCTTATTATCCCCTTTTGTTTATTTATACATTATTTGTCATTTGCTAATAAAAAGATGCCATAATTCAGACCCGTGTGTCACTGCTAAGCCATACCTAGATATTGTATCTTTGTCTTGCAATTTTAATTACTTAAGGGGTTTACTACTGTAGACCTCTGCCACCTTCCGCTTTTAACGGCTCCAGCTCGGACCTGAGAGTTGGCACTAATATTGAGCCAGCAGGTGTTTTTCAGGATGTTCTGTGAACCCGTTTTCTGCATAGCACACCTTCATCCCAGTTCACTGTTGAGTCACAGGCTAGCTCAGTTCAGACAGTCCAAATCCACGTGCACTTTGAAAGTTATTGCAGCTCGGATGCGTCGTCTATGAAGGAGAAGGAAAGGGGCCCCTAACAAAAGCTTTCCGTGGAAAGCTGCATTGTTATTATGTTGGCCTGGCTCTCTGCTTGTGCATGCTTTGTGCAGGCTGCCACTGCCAGTGTTGGCTCAGCTCGCCATCTACTGCCCTTCCAGGTGGTTGATTCGTGGTGTGGGATGGCATGATTTCACCCTCTCTCTTTGGGGCTGCAGGGGTATGTATGAGTAACGAGGAGTTAATTCTATTTTCTGGTGCTGTAAATGCTCACTGGCTGGGAGGAAGGTCCTTCTTCCCAGTTCACACAGACTCATGCAGTGGATGTCCTGGGTGGCTTCCTCTGTGCCAGGGCTGTGCTAGGTCCAGGAGTAGCAAAGATGAGTATTTCTGCTGCAGGATGCGGAGTACAGCTGAAAAGACATAAATGAACAAGTCACTGCAATGTCAAGTGCTGAAGGTAGAATAGATGTGTACCGCACTGGGGAGATGCTGAAGAATGTCTGTTGTGGATTAGTTGTCAAGGCAATGGGATGAATGGTAGAAATCCAGCTTGTATACTAAGGAGAAAATTTAAGACTGTTATAGAAGTGTCTTAGAGAAGATCTTATTTTTCCAGTAAAATTCATAGTAGGGATAGAATCTTTTGCTAAAATGTGGCCACTTAGTTAGGCAGCGTTTGTAATATTATATTTTTGTAATATTATATTTTGTGTGTGTGCTTGTGCATAGTATAGATTAAAATAAAATTTAATCAATTCTATAGATTATTTATTGACTTAATTTTATTATTAAGTATAAGCACAGACTTCTCTTTCGTTTGCCAGCTGCCCAGATCACACAGAAACTTTATTAATTACAACACTGTTTGGCTAATCACTCAGGCATTTTTTTCTAGCTAGCTCTTACATCTTGAACTAACCCATTTCTATTAATCTGTGTGTTTACACGAGGCTGTGGCTTACTGGCAAAGGTTCCGAGCATCTTTCTCCTTCAGGAGCTACATGGTGTCTCTCTGACTCTGCCTACTCTCTCTCTTTCTCTCTATCTCTTTCAGCCTGGCTATATTCTGCCCTGCCATAGGCCAAAACAGCTTTATTCATTAACCAATAAAAGCAACCACATATACAGAAGAGCCTCCCACATCAATTAAGATATATCAGCCTCTTCACTAGATCTTTAAACAGAGCCAACAAATGTGTACTTATGGTGTACTTACCCATGTACTCACATGTGGAGGCCAATCAATCACTTCTCCACTTTATTTTTTGAGACAGAATCTCACTGTTTAAGCTTACTGAGCCTGTGTGATCTGTTTGTCTTCCAAGTGCTGGTCCTTTGTGTTGCCATGCCTGGCTTTGATGCGGATCCAGGGTTCCCAGACTGAGGGCTTATGCTAGTATGGAACCACTTTCTTCCCTGAGCCATCTCCCCAACCCTCAGGCCCCTAGTTTGTTTCTTTTTATAGCGTTTTCCTGATTAACTTCAAGTGGAGGTTCCATAGGAAAGCAGTTGAAAAACAAATGTAGCAGGAAAGCCAGGGAACAAAGCAAATAATGAATTAGACTGCCCCTCTGTCCTAAATCTTTGACTGCTCTTTAAAGATCTTGTTCTGTAAAGTATTTGCTACACTTTGGTCTTTACTGCTTGGCTTATAAAGTAAAGTTGTCATCATAGATGAATCTTGCTAATTGGAAATCAATGAATATTAGATATAATATTTGATAGATTGACTATAGTCAATTACTACTCAATATGAATCAATGAAATGTACTTTCTTCTGAGATTATAAAATATAAATTATCACTGGACAAGAACTACATGCTTGCTTTTAGGAGCCAGAATATCCCAGACTCTAAACAGTTCATATTTTAAAAGTGGGCTTTGAGATGTGGTTGGAGCATTTGCCCAGCATGCACTGGGCCCTGAGTGTGATCCCCAGACACCGCCCTCCCACCCCCTCGCTGGATGCTGGGTGTGTCATTGTCTGTCTGGTAGTGAAGTGAAGTGTCGTTGTCCTAAGCTGCTAGAATGCATGTCACTTCAGTCACTGTTTCTTGATCTGAGGGATGGTGGCTTTGTCGCCGGCTGGGAACTCTGTGCTCAGTGAAGCTCTGCAGCGGCACCCTCTACTGGACAGTGGCATCTGCTGGTGGTTTATGTGTTTTGTAGCCATTTAAGTTTGTGAACACGTGGAGCAAATATGAATGATATGAAGACAGTCTTTGGGGCCCTGGAAAGTAAGACAATATATTGATAAGTGTATGGGATGTTCAGGGGCCACTGATACCTCCTCTCAGCTCTGTGATATATGGGGTTGGTATCTGAGAGTAATGTAGGTAGTGCTTTGGGCTGTGAATTTATGTCTAAGGGAGACATGGTTTAGGAGCATTGGCATAGGATAACATTGACATTTGGTACAGCCCAAATGATTTATCCTAAGAGATTAGCCTAGCATTTTTTGTTTCATTTCTGATGACCTGGAACAGGTGTATGAAGTCTGAAGAGCTGCAGGTAGGTACTGTCATTGTGCTTGGTACTGTCATGGTGGTGACATGGCAGTATCATTTGCTAAAGTCTATTACACAGCTGAAGAGTGACCCCCCTTGTATTCCACAGATTTTTCCTAGTAATGTGTTATTAGTTGTAGCACATAAACCACGCTAAGGTAGGATATTAACAGTAGGGAAATGACGGGAGCACAGGGTGAGGGCAGTGTGGTCAGCACTAAAGCCTTTGTCCGATAGTTCTGTGCACCTAACGTGCACTGAGATAAAGTCTACTAACTAAGAAGACACCACGGAGAGAAGACAAGGATCCCCAGGAATATCGCTCATTTTCACATTGCACATAACCCAAGAGGAAAAACTGGTATGTCAGGGCAAATCCTTCCCTTCCTTTAGCTAACAAAAGGAAGCATTTCTTATCTGGGCCACATGTGCACTGGAGGCGGCAGAGGACAGTGTCAGGGGTCTGTTGTTTCCATCTTTGGTTCTGGGGATTGGACTCAGGTCAGACTTTTGCAGCAAGTGCCTTTGTCCCCTGAGTCATCTCACAAGCCCCTTCCCTTCCCTTCACACCCACTTTATGTTTAGACTTCATTGCAGTTCAGCGATGGCCAACAGCTCTCTGAGCTATTCCACTCCTGGTATGTGTCCATAGGTCTGCAGAGAGGCCGTGGAAGGTCCCCCTGACAACCAATACCCTTATTTTCCAAGCTGGAGCTGTGGAGGAGACCCCCTTTATGTAGCAGATGACCACACACGTATTTGTGTGTAAGAAATTATGTAAGAAATGAGGGTTTTTTTTTTTCTCAGTTTCCTTACCTTCCAGTCATGATGACTGCTTATTCAAAAGCCAGCCATGCACAGCCAGAGGACACCTCAGGGGACCTGCCATCTTTGATTGGTTTGTTCCTCCTGCGATACACAGTCAGCTCTTGTCCGTGCACAGCTTCCTTCACTCAGAGCTGTGCAGCATCACAGAGCAGGGACAGAATCTTCACTTGTGGACCTGAATTCAGTGGTATCCTCTCCACAGCAAATCCCACCAGAACCAGCTGGGAGTCGCCCTGAAAGTTGCTAGCCTATACTGACAAGAGTGTTCCTAAACCATGGCTACTCTAGTTTCTTGTGGCTTATTTTTGTTTGCTTTTTAGATTAAAATGCATCATTTTTTTTGCTGAGTTTACAAAGTTAGTATAAAACATTTTATGCTAATTTTGTTAAAATTTTAGAGTAAAAGACAACTGAATCATGAATTCTTTGCGACCCTACCAGAGATTTTCCTTTTTTAATTTATAAAAATGTTGAGATTATTCATGAATCAGTATTTCTGACATTTCCATCCCCTCCTCCACTCCAGCTCCTCTTGCTTCTCCCCCACCTCCCTCTCGTGTTCATGATCTCTTCTTCAGTTGTTATTGTTACACAGATACCGTGTGATGCTGAGTTCTTTTAGTGTGGTTTCTATGTGTATGCATTTCGGGCTGACTGCCTGGGATCGGCTAACCTATTGGGGGTTCATCCTTCGAGGAGATTGAGTCTCCTTTTGTCAGCAGCCATTAATTGGCTGCAGCTCTTCATCTCGGGGTCAGGCCTCATGAGATCCCCCTCCCATGCTGCTGTGTCAGCTGACGTTGTCATTGTGCAGGTCTTGTTGAGATTTCATGGTTACAGCTTCCCTGTCATATGCAGGAAAAACCTATTTCATAGCAGACATCCTGGTCCACTGACTTACAGTGTTCCCACCCTCTTCTGCAATGTCCCCCGAGCCTTAGGTTAGGGAGAGTTAACATGAGTTTTTAGCATTAACATTAGTGATTTTATTTTACTCAATTTTTTTAATCTGAGGTGATTGTAGGGTTCATTTTCTCTGGGGCACCCTTGAAAAGAAGCAGGCTAACACAGCACTGGATCTCCGTAACTCTCGGGTTCTTGAGAGAATTGGATTCTGCTGGATTCTGGCTCCTTACCGAAGAACTAAGTTCCATCTTTGGGCCACGTGTGGTGGCCCAGTCCCAGCACTTAGGAGGCAGAGGCAGGCGGGTCTCTGTGAGTCTGAGACGAGCTTCGATGACAGGAGTTCCAGGACAGCCAGGGCTACACAGTGAGACCCTGTCTCAAAGCAGCAGGTTTGCTTGACAGTTGGAAGTCCGCAGAGGCTGTCTCTCTGTCTGTGCCAGCCGCTGCCTTCAGCCTTTCCTCCCCATGCTGTGTTTGAAGATGAAAGGAAATGCTGCTGAGTTTTCAAATAAATGTACTGAGATTTCCTTGTAGAGGAGGCTGTGTTTCACAGTATAGTCTCACAGACAAACACAAGTAATACAGCATCCGTGTTGTTATTTCTGGCCTTCATTATAGACCATCTGTAACTCATAATGTCCATATTTTTTCAATAATTCTATCTGGGTGCAGAGATTTTATATATATCTGTGTGGACAGCTTAAAAGGAAAAGTACAAAGAAAATCATGATCGGGTGTGCAGTTCTGGTAACAACGTCTCTTTGATGTCCAGCGGTGATCAGATGATAATGTTAGCGTTTTGGCACGTATGTTTTTCCTTGTTTATACATGCAATTCATGTGTAGCCTACTTTTAAGACAACAGATGTGGAATCTTCATTTATGTCATTGATACCAACATTATTTTATGCTGTGGATGTTGTCAGCTGGTTCCTTGTTGAAATACCTCTCAATTTGTTTCCAGATTTCATGAGTAACCTCTCACTGTCTTAGATTTTATGAGAGAAAAAAAAAAACTATGATTCTCACAGGACTTTAAAGAAAACATTTAAGTTTTCATAAGTGAAAACCCAAAGTAAACTTAATCATCTAGTATTACACAATAAACTAGCAGAAGATTCCAGTATTTAGCTTAGTTATCAACATATCACTTGTAAACGATAGTATATTAAAGTTGATTTATAATCTAATTTATAAATGATTTAGCTTTAACGTAAGTCAACTTGAAAACTTTTTTGTGTGTGCGTGTGTGTGTGTGTGTGTGTGTGTGGAGTATGTGTGTGAGTGTGTGTGAGTGTACGGTGAATTTTCACTTCCCATGGCTCCTCTGGCAGTTCGTACACGTTTGTCACCCTGAACTTTTACCTGCTGCTCTCATGAAGGTTAGTATTCGCTTTTTCTTTATTTTTTTTCTTCCCTCCCTCCCTCCCTTCCTCCCTCTCTCCCTCCCTCTCTCCCTTCCTCCCTCCATCCCTTCTTCCTTCCTTTCTTTCTTTCTTTAAAAAATCTAGTGATTGAAGTTGGGCATAGTGGCATACACCTTCAGTCCTAGTACTCAAAAGGCAGGGGCCAGTGGATTTATGTGAGTTTTAGGCTAGCCTGATCTACCTGGTGAGACCCTGTCTCAATTTTTTTCTAGTATTAGTGAACAAAATACTATGTGGTAACATTTTATTGGTGATATATGTATATCTTGTAGGAATCTCGTAAGGCAGTGCTTCTCAACCTTCCTGAAGGTTGCCACCCTTTAACACAGTTCCTCGTGCTGTGGTGACCCCAACCATAAAATCATTCCATTGCTACTTCCTAACTGTAATTTTGCTACTATTATGAATTGTAATGTAAAAATCTGATATACAGAGTATCTGATATGCAACCCCTATGAAGATGTCATTTAACCCCCAAAGGGGTCGCTACCCAAAGGTTGAGAACCACTGTTTATATAATTATTTTAAAAAAGTTCTTTTCTCATTTTACATACCAATCCAAGTTCACACTCCTGCTCCTTCTGCTCCCTCTACCTCCCCACCCATCGCACCCCCAATCCACTCCTTAGAGAGGGTAAGTCTTCCCATGGAAAGTCACCAAAGTCTACACATTGCTTTGAGGAAGGACCAAGGCCCTCCCCATTATTTCTAATTTGAACAAGGTGTCCCTCCAAAGAGAATGGATTCCAAAAGCCAGTACCAGCAGTGGGGATAAATCCTGGTTCCGCTGCCAATGGCGCTGCAGTCTGCCCCAGCCATACACTTTCACCAACATTCAGAGGGCCTGGTTTGGTCCTCTACTGGTTCCCCCGCTGTCAGGCAAAAGTTGGTGAGCTCCCATTAGCTCAGGTAAGCTGTTTCAGTGGGTGTCCCATCATGGTCTTGACCCCTTTGCTCTTATTCTCACTTCTTCCTCTCTTCTACTGGACTTTGGGAGCTCAGCCCAATGCTCCAATGTGGATCTCTACATCTGCTTCCATCAGTTACAGATGAAGGTTCTATGATGACATTTAAGATATTCATAAATCTGACTACAGGGCAAGGCCAGTTCAGGTACCCTCTTCACAATTGGTTAGGGTCTTAGCTGGGGTCATCCTTGTGGATTCCTGGGAATTTTTTTAGTGCTAGGTTTCTTCCTAGCCCCATAATGGCTCCCTCAATCAAGATATCTCTTTCCTTGCTCTCCCTCTCTGTCCTTCCCCCATCTAGACCATCCTGTTCCCTCAAGTTCTCATCCCCCTCCCTTTTCTCCTTTTCTCCTCCCTTTTTGTCCTCCCCCCACGCTCCCACGCTCCCAATGTTCTCAGGAGATCTTGTCTATTTCCCCTTCCCAGGGGAATCCATGCATGCTTCTCTTAGGTTTTTCTGGTTACCCAGTTTCTCTGGGGTTGTTGGCTGTAAGCTTGGTATCTTTTGCTTTCCAATATCCACTTATGAGTGAGGACATGCCTTGCTCGTCTGAGAACCACTGTCTTAAACCTGGAGTAGATCCTGGTGTGTGTATGTATTCATACATACAACCATTGTGAATTACTGAATATATAATATTTCCCTCTGCAGAACTTGCTTTCTGCACACTCCATTGCATATATACCAATGTTGAGTTAAAATTTCATCTTTTGCATACATTTTTTTTAATCAGGATTAGATATGGCCATAAGACTTTTTTTCTTATATGGACTTTGGAATCCTGGGCTAATGTCATCAGTTGCCTTGGTTTAGTAAATGGAATGGATTAATTCTTACTAGGATTGCAAAATCAGTTCATAGGACCACCTTTGTGACACTATCTCTCAACACTGTTTCTCACTTTCTCCCGTTCCTATGTGAAAGTCATTTTCCTAGCATTTTATTTATAGCATTATAAGGGAGTCACCAGATTTTATTGTGTTACAACTGGGCATGCAGCAGTTACTCCCTCTCCCATAGATTATGGCTGCTGTATTTTACCCATGTTTGTATCTGCCTGTTACATTCCACACTGTTATCTTCATGTTTGCTGAGAGTTGAGTCATGGACTTGGGAGTTAGGCATTTTTTGTGTTCAGTAACTGTTCGCTGATTAAAGTGAATAAAACTGTACACTTAATTAATTGCTAACAATAGTCTGTATTTCCTAAACAATATTTATTAATAATATCAAATTCTCTTTATTGAAGATGAACAACCTTCTTTAGTGTCCATACTCTCAACTGCATTGACATTTCTCTTTCAGGGTTTATTCACACAGATATGACAAAACACTTGAAAGAAGAACATTTCAAGAAGAACATCCTTCTCGGGAGGTTTGGAGACCCTCTCGACGTGGCTCATGCAGTTGTGTTTCTCCTTGAGTCTCCATACATCACAGGATACGTTCTGGCTGTGGATGGAGGGTTACAGCTCACCATCTAATCAGAGGTGATTCTGTTGTGATGGCTGCTGATTAGGGTCAAGTGCACATTTTTTTTATTAATTAAGCAATCATATCTGTATGGGTGACATTTGATACTAAAATGGTTCTATCTTTATATGAACATGTTTCAAAAGAACAATGTATGACCAGTTGTAGTCTAAATGGTATGAATTCTCTATTTTTAGAGGCCATAGAAATTTTAGTACATAGACGTTTTATAACACATCGGTATTAATTTATGTATCTTTGCCTTAAAAATAGAAGATTCTGTTGTGATATAGTTTAATTGTATCTGCTGGGTTTCTAAGACACCAATTTTGTACTATTGCTAAATAAGAGTATTTGCAGAAGATTGAGATCAATTTTTTATGAGTTATTTTTGTTGCTGTGGTAAAACATCATGACCAAAAGCAACTTATCAGAGAAAGTGTCTCTTGATGCTTATGGTTCCAGAGAGATGGAGTCCATCATGTCAGGGAAGGCTGGCAGCAGGCAGGAAAAGCATGGTGGTCGGAGCAGCAAGCTAGCTGGTCACATGTCATCCATACACAGAAGGCAGAGGGGGAACAGGAAGTGGAGGCAGGTTATAAAATCTCAAAGCTTACCCCCAGTGGCATACTTCCTCCAGCAAGACTGCACTTCCTACAGGTTCCATAACTTCCCCAAACAGTGCCACCAACAAGGAGCCGAGTGTTCAGACATGAACCCTTAAGGTCATTGCATTCAGACCAGCACAGCACTGAGAAGCCTTTGCTGAGGCTCACCTTTTATGTTTTATGGTGCATTTTGAGGCAGAATATCACAGTGTGAGCTTCCTCCTCAGCTTGGGAAGCTTTGGTCTTATTAGAGACCAAGTTTTGCTGGGGAGTAGACATGAAGACATATAGCGGAACGCAATAGAGATAGCATTCCTTTTGCCTTGAACTCTTGTGGGAAATAAAGAACTATTTTTATATACTAGATTCATGTTGATTTTTTATTTGCCACCTTCCAAATATTTTTAATATTTTATTTTAAAAAGTAATGTTTTTACCAAGGTGCTCATAATTTCAGATACTTGGTCAGCTGAGGCAAGGACATAACAAGTTTAAGGACATGCTAGGTTACATAGTTCAAGGTCTGGGGATGTGGTAGAGCACTTGCCCAGTAGAAGAAGACCCCAGGTTCAATCCTTAGTGCTTCAGACTAGAACAGAACCAAACCCAGGAATCCAGGAGTCATCTGATTGCTGTTTTCAAGTGGAACATTATCTAAATGGATTTTTGATTATATATATATATATATATATATATATGAATAAGATGTAGTAATAAATTCATAATAATAGTGCCATAAATCGAAAACTGTACTGAATATGGAGTCCTTTATCCCTGACATACTTTCTTTACTTAGTTTATTAGCATTCTGTTTTTCCTGTCCTGGGGCTTGAACCTTGGGCTTTGGGCATGCCTACTAAGTTAGGCTCTCCCCATAGGTTCCATCCACAGCCTTTGATTCAGGAGAATATCTGTGTGAGTGCAGTACTACTGAAGGAACAGCCTGCTAATGCAAGGTGTGGCAGTTGGAGGACTGTTAGGTAGCAGCATTTCTAGGCATGTTAGGTAATGCGACACGCAGGATGTCTCACAGGTGGTGCACATGGTAGGGGGCTTTGTGCATAGAGAGTGGGTAGCTTCCTTATTCTCTGTTCCATGTGTCTTTGGCCACTTGTACTTGTACAGGCCTCAGTTCCCTTGGCTGGACACACCATGATCTGAACTCATCAGTGAAGCCGGTTGTTGTGTAAACAAGAGGAAAGCAAGCCAAGTATGGTGACACTCACCTGGCTATGGGGACACTCGCCTGGGTATGGGGACACTCGCCTGACTATGGGGACACTCGCCTGACTATGGGGACACTCGCCTGGATATGGGGACACTCGCCTGGATATGGGGACACTCGCCTGGCTATGGGGACACTTGGCCTGGATATGGTGACACTCGCCTGGCTCTGGGGACACTCGTACATGGGGTGGGGGTAATAGAAGATCAAGGTTGTTTTTAGCTACACAGTGAGCTTGAGACTAGCGTGGGCTATGTGAGCAAAATCCAAAAACAGCAATGAAATCTAGGTTACCGATAGGCTTACCCTTGAGTGTATGTTTGCACTTTAAAATAAGCTGCTTCTCCCTTCTGTGTCAGACTGAAATATGTGGAGAGCTGTGGAAGAGGGGAAATAAATCATCATGGCTTTGCTCCTGGTGAACTCTCTTTCTGTTCTCACTGACTTGGTAGAAATTTCAACTGAACACTTGAATTCCGAGGCCCAAGAACTTCAGTGAAGACTCAGCTCGGGCTGTCTTCCTCCTCCCCGCAGCTCATGGCCCAGCCCATGCTGAACATTTGAAGGAAAAGGTTGGTGGCCAGAGCCAACGTTTTCAGTTTTCACGCTCAGGTTTAAAATGTGTACTTTTTTCATATTTTTATTCATATTCTATTTACGAGGGGTTGTGTAAGCTTTTTACAAATAGAATTATATGTTGCAAATTAGTTTGGGGGGATAGTTTATGCAGAAAAGCTAAGTTAATTTATACACATCTATTACCCAGAATAATGAGAAAAGACAAACTGCTTTGGGTATTCAAGAGTTGATCCCTATTGTTACTGGAGCATTTTCCCCAAGCTCTGTGAATTGGAAAAATGTGTGAATTATGAAATTATTCTACTGTCCTGCTTGACAAACATTCCTAAATAAAGTATTTAATAGCTGACATTTATGTTAATTTTTGTCTTTCAACTACAGTATAGGATCCAAGAGCAAAGTACATGCTGCGTCTTCATTTGTTATGCAATTAAAAGTCCTGCACTTTCCTGATAGCTCTACCTTGCTGTTCTGTACAGTGCACACCAGGTATACACATGTCTTAAGTTTGAATAATTACCTCTAATGTAACTTGGAATTCTTGGACCAGTAATCCAAATAGGATGCTCTCAGTACTGTGTGTGTTACCAAGCTTGTCCGTTTACTTAACGAATCAATAAGGTTCCAGTGAATTGAGGACAGACTGTTGGGGCAAGGGAAAGAATTGATTCGATAAACCAGCAGGACTTAGAAGATGAAGACTAGGATTCCCGTAGCCCATCTCAACGCTAGTGCTCGGGTCCTTTTATCCGGAGGAAATGGTCGGTGGAGCGCGAGAGCTGGTGGTCAGTCCACTTGCAGCTGCCTCGAAGGGAGAACACTGGGGTGAAGGGAGTTTTGGATAAGCCGAGTCACATTTTATCTTCCCTCTGTCACTATCCCATTGTGACAGGGAAAGGGGTAGGGATGGTGGCTTCCCTGACGCTTCCAGCTGGAGGTAGGTGAAGGAGAGGTGGTTGTGGGAGAGGTGGTTGTGGGATAGAGCGGCATAATCTGGAGAATACTGGGCATTCCTAAAATGCAAGCAAATTCTCAAGTGTGCAGCCAAAGCTTACATACCATAATAGTAGTAATGACATAATCCCATTTCTCTCCTTTATCAAATATCACTTGTACCTTATGATGCTGGGTTTTGGACTTCCTTTAAAGCTCATGTGTGTTTATTTCCTTAGTATTAGTAGTAAATTCATAATGCTTCACTGAGGTGATTAGAAAACTTTATGACATAATCGTCCAACAAAAGCAGCCCTTACCTATCTATCGTATGCTCTCTGTGGGGTTGAAGCTATAGGCCAGGTTAAAATTCCATCAGCATTCCCTTGCTGTAGAGAACAAAGCCCAAGTCCCTTCTTTAGAGTACAGCCAAAGAGTGATCATCTCTGGGGTGGCTCATTCTGCTTCCCTAGTGATGTAGGGATCGCATTCCTACTGGCTGCAGTATTTATAACATCCTTCCCATAGGGCCTGAAAAAAGGATGTAGGAGAGTTACCTCCTCATCAGATCAGTGAGGAGGGGGGATAAATTACCATACCAAGTCAAATATTTCTTAAATATTTGACCTCTTTCTCGATGGCAGTCTAGGTATCTGATGACCTTGTTGAAGCGGGCAAACTGTTGGGTTCAATGTCACTGATATGTGGTGGATTCCTGGTTTCACCCTGGCCAGTATGAGAAAGGCCTCAGGAAGTACTTGAGGTGATTCGGTCTACTGTGCTGCAAATTGTTGGACTTCCGTTTTTGTTATTTTTCCATTAGGATCTCCTAGTGTTGCCCAGGCTGCTCTTGGACTTGAGAGACTCCTGAGTAGTTGGGGAAATTAAAGAAATGTACCACAATGAACCCTTCCTCAAGTCTATCTTTGGGGTCCCAACACAGGAGTATATTTAAAGACAAAGCAGAGGATGCGCAACTAAGCAGTGTGACCGAGATGTGCTCCCCGCCTACCCTTGTTTTAGCGCCAAGCCTGTCCTGCAAGGTCACCTGACAAGTTGTAAAATTTTTCTCCTGGAGACAAGTTCTTCCTCTGGCCACCCCTATGCCTTCAGCCGTTTCTTGTCACAGCAGAATATTTCTGGATAAATATTAATCCATTAGGTCCATTCTTTCGATAGTCTGATGTACAAAGAGGGAAATACAAGTCTCTTTAGAATGTATTCTTTCTTTCCAGATAGGCCAGTGACATGTCTTTTGCATCTCTCTCTCTCTCTCTCTCTCTCTCTCTCTCTCTCTCTCTCTCCTTTAAAATAATGATTTTATTGTTCTTTGAGAATTTTCTTTTTTAAAAACTTATTTATTAATTATGCATATAGGGTTCTTCCTGCATATATCCCTGCAGGCCAGAAGAGGGCACCAGATCTCAATACAGATGGTTGTGAACTACCATGTGGTTGCTGGGAATTGAACTCAGAACCTCTGGAAGAACAGTCAGTGCTCTTAACCTCTGAGCCATCTCTTCAGCCCCGAGAATTTCATATATATTTTTTAACCATATTCTTTTCCCTCTCCAAAGTCCTTTCAGATCTTTCCCTACTTCTCCACCCACCCAACTTCTTCTTCTTTCCCCTCTCTTAAAATAAACAAACCAAACTAAAAGCCAACAACAATAAAAAACATGGAGTCCAGAGACTAGAGAGATGGCTCAGTGGTTAAGAGCACTGGCTATTCTTCCTGAGCTCAATTCCCAGCAACCATCTGTAATGAGATCTGGTGCCCTCTTCTGACCTGAAGAGATACACGCAATCAGACCACTGTGTACATAATAAAGAAATGAATCTTAAAAAAAAAATAACAAAAAACATGGAGTTCGGTTTGTGTTGTATGGCTACGCCTGAGCATGGAGCCTGCCATGGAGTGCAGTTGGTGTATCTAGTGTTAACTGATTTCCTTTTCCCCAAAGCTATCAATTATGAATAGCATCTTGGTGAGGGCTTGGACTCTGTGCCCTGTTCTCCACTTCTGTGCTGGGGTTTTGTCTGATTTGAGCTTAGCTTGTGCACGTTATGTGCATGTTGTCAGTCTTGGTGAGGTCAAACGTGCACCTTCCCTGTCGGGTCTAGAAAATATCATTTCCTAGAAGCCATTCATCACCTCTGGCTTTTGCTCCTTCCTCTGCATAGATCCTCGATCCTTAAGCCAAGGAGTGTGATGGAGACATTCCATTCACAGCTAAGCATTCTGCAGTCTTATTTTCTGCATGTGGACCAGTGGTGGGGTTCTGTGTTAAACACCATCTACAGCAAGAAGAAACTTCTGTGATGAGGGTTGAAGAATGCACAGATCAGTGGGCATACCAATATGTTATTTGGAGTCCTATTGCTCTGTTCATTTAGCACAGTGGTTCTCAACCTTTCTTATGCTGTAACCCTTTAATACATTTCTTCATATTGTGGTGACCCCCCAACCATCAAATTATTTTCATTGCTGCTTTGTAACGGTAATTTTGCTACTGTTATAAATTGTAATGCGAGTATTTTTGGAGATAGAGCTTTGCATGGGGTCATGGCCCACAAGTTAAGAGCCACTGATGTAGCAGAGTGTTGGTAGTAGGTTTTCTCTTGAGGCTCATAATCTATCTAGCTTTGCTTTGGCCCATTGATGGTGCCATGTATGAGTTCCATTTCATAGAGTGGACCTTAAATCCATTTTTAAAGCAGTGTTTGGTTTCCCCTATGACACTTGTACCACTATTGCATCAATTGCCATACCTTGCAGGCAGTTTAATTATTGTAACTCACAGGTTAGTAGTGAGGTGATATTGATGATTGCTTTTCTCCCTCCATAGTATGTATAGTATCTTCCAGCACCATGAAGAGTAGCCAGTAAGGGTGAGTCTTCTGGGTAAGCATCCACTTGATTTTCCTATGCTTGACAACATAAGTGTGTGATATCTTCAGCAGTCTGGAGAGTAACCAGTAATAGTGACAATAGTTTAATATTATGAGACCCCATTGGTCAGCAACTCAAAAAGACGTAACCCATTCCTGGTACTGGGGATTTTATTTGGTAGTATATGGTACCCATGATGCACTTTTTAAATCTTATTTTTCAAGCTCTGTATTAGTATTTAATCCCTTTTATTCTGAGACATGAATTCTAAGCAGTATCTTTCTTGTTTGTTCTCAAAATTCCTTCAGTCCTCCATCTTGTCTTATCTCATTGGAAGGAGTACATCACACAGTAACTTCTGAGAAAAAGTACGTGGGCGATAACGTTTTATGGGAGAAAAGTGTTATTAACAATAGACATTTAGAAGTTGGTTGATATAGTTGTGAGAGAATGAGTCTGATTGCAAATAATGCTAACTGTAGGCTTTTGTGAGCTCTGTCTTGGGGAAACAGAGTGGGTTCTTTCTTTTTTAAATGACATTTCCTTAAATTGTTGAGTAGCTTTTATGGACCAGTTTTAAGTACCTATCTCTCAGTTTCTGGCATTTGTCTCTTCCTTTTCCATTTTCCTTATGGGCATATGCTTTTAAAACAAACAAGCAGAACTCTGTGAAGTCTGCTTTAGGCTGGGAACGTGTGTATATATACATGAACCCTTTGCTTCGAAATCCTCACAGTATCATTTGAATGGACGTGTCGCTTGTATTTGTTTATGTTTCATGACAGCACACTGTATTTGCGAAGTACGTACATATTTTTAGAGAGGGTTTACAATGAGGTCAACTAACTCAGATTGGGAAGAATTTTGGTGATAGAACACAGCATGTTGCTGAGCTGTAGCCACTGATTCCACAGAAGCACAGATCCTGAGGCCTCTTGAAGATCGCCCCACTAGCGGAGACTGTTCTCATGAAGTAACCAAAGGAACCATGGACAAACCATTGTCTCTTCTGAGAGATGCTTGTGATTGAGTTTGTTAACAGTTTCTCCAGGCTTCTGAGAGTCAGCTAAGCTGGGAAGGAACGAGGGACCAACCCTCCTCAGATGATGTCTTTGAACTGGAAGACTTGAGAACAACCCAGATTTCTAACTTTTTAAACATTCATATGTGTGTTTATTTAAATATTTATGCCAGTCTCCCCTACCCTGTGGGTCTCAGAGACTGGACACAGATCATCCGGCTTATTGGCAAGTGTCTACCTGCTGAGTCATCTGTCTGACCTCAAAATTCAGAAGAACTGGGGACCACTGAAGAACTTGCATTTCTAGTAAGTTCCTGATAGCTAGTGTAGCCAGAACTACTTTAAGAACTGATCTACAGGCTTCTCAAAAAAAAAAAAAAAAAAAAAAAAGAATCAGATGATTCTTGCCATTTATAGTACCATGGGAAAACTCTTTTAATTAGATGAAATTTCGACATAAAGAATAAATCTGATGCTGTAAAACGAAATGCCAGACATTATAGGTGAAATCCCAATATGTCACGTGCCTTGAACAACCCAGGTGAATAACTGGTACTTCTGGTTTTATTTGCTTGCTGAACGATTTTTTTGAGAATCAGTAAGCTGCCCTACAAACCTCTCCTATGCAATTAAGCCTGAATCTCGGTGTTATTTGGAAGAGGTTGCTTTTTCTTTTATGTGTGTGCATGGTGTACACACAGCATGGGTACAATTGCCCAGGTACTTGTGGAGGCCAGAAATTTTCTTTCTCAGCCGCTTCTATTTTCTGAGACAAGATCCCCAAATCTGGCTGACCAGTGAGCCCCAGGAATCGGCCTATTGCTACCCACTCAGCACTGAGGGTACAGATGTCATTGGCCAGGTTTTTAGGTAGCTGCTGCAGATACAAACTCAGGTTTTCATTTGTACTCAGCAAATATGTATGTGGTGAGCCAGCTCCCTACCCCTATCAGAGGGATTTGAAGGTACAGTTAAGCTTCTATACTAAATGCTGTTTAGAAAGGAGATTGTGTGGGCCGGCTTGATCTATTCAGATGCACTTTTAAAGGGGAATGGACTCTCCATACCAGAATCAAAGCATAAAAGTGTCTTCATGAAGGGAATTCTCCCTTCTGGCTTTGAAGACGGAGGGGAAGAAATAGCCATGGCCAACCACCGGCTGGCAGACTAAGTGGGTCCTCTGTCCCATAACACCAAGGAACTTCTGAATTCTGTCTTAACTACTTGAGCATCAGGTGAGACTGCAGCCAATGACACCCTGATGTCACCTCTTCTTACACAGTGAGTTGGGACCTTGCCTTCTCATGCCCAGCGTCTGATCTCCCCAGCTCTGACAGTGAAACGGGATGCTTCTGACTCTACCAGTTCAGCACAGCAGCCACAGAGCACAGCGTCACAAAGGATCAGCTACTGTTTGTTAAATATTTATTTATTGATGTTAAGTCCACATTACAATAGCACAACAATCCAAAGTATGGCAGTACTTTGTTTTTTTTTTTTAATGTTTTTTTCATAAATACAACATAAAAGGTGGCAAAAGAATGCTAGTTAATCCCAAGCCCAGCAAATTAGCAAAAAAAAAAGACACATTCAGAAAAATTTGGCAAGTATGATATACTATAGGTCACAATTCTACAACAGAGATAGGTCCATAAGACCCTGCATGGTTACTTAAATCCCCCATTAGCAATGTGTGTGTGGGCAGTCTTGTGCCACACTGTATAGAACATCTGCCACCCAGTGCTCAAGTCTGCTAAAGCTCGGTTGGTTGGTGTTCTTAGAGAAGGAAAAGGCTGTGTATGTGGAGCAGTAATACGGAATACATGGGGTGGTCACAGACACAAGCTTGCTGGAAGTACTGTGCATGGGTTGAGTAACTGAGCTAAGAGCGTTCGACACTTTATAAATAATGAACAATAGATAGGTTTTGCATGAGGAACACAGTGCTTTCTTTTCATAGCAAAGTACCATTAAAGCCTCATGGTTCATACTATCAGGCCAAATTACTTTCTCTCATTATAAAAGAAAAATATTGGTTCCGACTTAAAAGTCATCAAGTCTGGTCAGAATCGACTCCATTTAGCTGATGCAGAATCAAAAAGTGGTCTTTGCAGCTTGGCCTTGTAGGTGCTCCGAGCCTGGCCCTTCTTAGGCTAGGTTCCATGGCATCGGGGAAGTGAAGGGAACTAGAAGTTTCCGTTCACCACCTCTTAGTGCCAACGGAAAAGAAACTCGTTGTGGCACGAGCTTCTTTTTGTCCCTAAAGTCTCCGTTTCCCCCAGGCAGACTAGACCCTCTAGGCTACTTCCCGTTCATGCCACCCCTACAATCTCAACCATGTCCAACTTACTCTACACACTAACGTCAACTACACACTCAGCTACATGGAAGCCTTCACCACACACGTGCTCCAGACTTCCAGATGAGCCCCTACAGTCCTTGACTGGCTAACGGCAATGTTTCTGCATCTATGATTTTAAGAAGAAAACCAAAGAGGAACCCAGCCCACTCCTGATGCTTTCCTCTACCTGGATCTGAGATCTCTGTGTGGGTAGCAATTCCTTCCTTCATTCTTTCCCTGCCTTCCAAACCCCTTCCCTCCGAATACATCCTGCCTTGGTCATTTGGGTGGTTTCCCTGCCTCCTGTGGAATGGGCTGCGATACATCCCGACTTTCTAGAGAACACTTTCAATTGTTTAAGTTTGACCTAGTCTTTTAGTTAATACGGATTGTAAGGAAGCTCCGGACTGAAGTCGCATAAAAAGGAAACTGATCCGGACGACATCGAAGGCCAGGAATTCCTCCTTTCTGATCTGACTCAAGTGGCTCGCAAAGACAAGGCGTCGCTCGGATTTCGTCACGGTTCTCATCCCCACCCTTCCCTATTGCACGTGGTTCACGGTAGCCATCTGTAGACCCTGCACCTTAGAGTCCCCGTAGCATCTAACATTCCACGCTGCCACACTGTAGCACCTATAGCTTGTGTTTGAAGGCACTTGTAGGTAACTTGAATCGTGGTTACCTTTGAATAGTTGATTTCTTTCGGCATCTTGGCATTTCAGAGCATTTGAATCACAACAGTTCTGTAAGTTCTAACCTGGGCAACAGATGTGATTTTTCTGTGCAGTGTGTTCGTTTCTATGAGCATCGCCTACTTAGATTCTCTATCAAGTAAGAAAAATATGATTTTGGTGTGTGTGTGTGTGTTTTTAAATTTCTTAAAGTCAAAAGTATACTTCTGTCTTTTACATAATGTGACAGAGTTGTATGTTGGTCAAAGCAATGGCGTTCGGTTTTCAGCTTCAACGGGGTGCCAATCACAGGTCCTCGCTTTCTACCAAGCCGCTGTTCAGTGCCAGGTGAGACGGGCTTGCTTCAGGTTGGAAAGCGGCTTTGATGTCTAGTCCCTGGTCCGAAAGTGCTGCGTAGCGACTGGCCGAGGGCCGTACTTTTTTTGGCTTGGTGGTCTGTGGCTGCTGCTGCCACTGGGCTACAAAGAAAGACAGCAAATGAAGACTTTTAGCAAAGATATGCTTGGAAATGCCTTAGAAGTTCAAACGCAGAATGGCTTTTAGCAGAGCCTGCTGGCTTACACTGGCAATCTCAGCCCTTGGGAGGCTGACGCAGGAGATTATTGCAAATTTGAGGTCAGCTTGCATTGCACAATGGGTTACAGGTCAGCCTGAGTTTCAGAGAAACAACCTATCTCTAAAAACGAAAGCACACTTCCAAAATTTATGTCTTTTGATATATATTGGGTCCATACACATTCTCCTTAAAAAGATTTTGTTTTCTATATATGTGACTGGTTTGCCTTTGTGTATGCACGTGCACGGAGTGTGTTTAAGTGTGTTGCCTGTGTGCATGTGCACGGAGTGTGTTTAAGTGTGTTGCCTGTGTGTGTGCATGTGCGTGGAGTGCGTTTAAGTGTGTTGCCTGTGTGTGTGCGTGTGCATGGAGTGCGTTTAAGTGTGTTGCCTGTGTGTGTACGTGTGCATGGAGTGTGTTTAAGTGTGTTGCCTGTGTGCATGTGCACGGAGTGCGTTTAAGTGTGTTGCCTGTGTGTGTGCGTGTGCACGGAGTGCATTTAAGTGTGTTGCCTGTGTGTGTGCGTGTGCATGGAGTGCGTTTAAGTGTGTTGCCTGTGTGTATGTGCACAGAGTGTGTTTAAGTGTGTTGCCCGTGTGTGTGCATGTGCATTGAGTATGTACCCGGTGCCTGGGAAGCCAGGGGGCGCTAGAACAGGAAGTGCTCTGAGCTGCCGAGCTATCTCTCCGGGGCCTCACATATATATTCTTTGTGAAAGAATGAACGCAGGCCCGGTAGAGAAGGAAATAACTGAGAGGTCCTTCTGCATTTTCCTTACAGGAGTCACAAGCCACTGTCTGTGTGTGGCCATGGGACCGCAGAGCCAGGCAACAGCTGCGCTGGGAAATCTCAAACAGTTGATAAACTTCTTACATCTGACCCATCCTCCCCTCTTTTAATAATAATTATAGTTAAGAATTGGAGATAGATTTTTAACATTAATAAACTGAAAAGAATCAGGCATATCAGGCATTTGGGATGCTTGCAAAGGACTATTACTTTCTTAAGCAGAAGTAAAATTTTGGAATTTGTTTTAAAATGGTTTTAAAATGTGGTCTTTCTTATATCAACTGATCATATAATGTTGTTGTTCTAGTCTTTAAATTGAGCTGGTGGTTTTTTAAATTTAGGATGCATTCACACACACATACACGTTCAAGGATCTACTGCTGAGCTGCCTAAGATATATTAATGAGAGAAGCGCTTTGCTCCGTAAGTCCACATTCCAGAATCAAGGAGCCCATGTTACGACTGCAGCAGGACACCGCGAGAGGCTTGTGACTCAGGCAGCGATGTTAAGAGGCAGTCACTTACAGACAACAGGAATAAGAAAACGTGACAAAGGCTACGCCTTTGCCCACTGTTAGCCCTACGAATGCTCAAGTGAGAAAGCCACAGCCGACTAGGCAGCTGAGAAACCAACATGCACAATCAAAGACCCTGGCAATACTTGGGGGCTTGTTCTTCCGGAGGGGTTTCGCTATTAATGTCGGGAAACTATAAACAGAAAGAAAAAGAGTAACATGAATTTTTTTTTTTGGCAAATAAAATGCTGGAGTATAAATTTAGAACATAAAGCTTAGAGTAATAATGTGATATGTCATGCTGACATCCAGCTCTTCATCGGTGAGCGTGTGAAATGCAGCGAGAAGAAACGGGGCGGCACTCACTGTAGACGTCCAGCCTGGCGGTACAGGACACGATGCCCGCTTCGTTCTTGGCTGATACAGTGTACCACCCAGCGTCCTCCTTTGTGGCTCCCTGAATGAGCAGGCAGATGTAGCCGTGATTATCCTGGTGCATGCTGCAGAAAAAGATAAAGTCATTAGAGCTCGAGATTTTTCAAAAGCAGCTTTGGACACGAAACATCATTTTTAATTAGGTCATTAGAAACGGAATTGGGCGAGCCGCGGATAACAGGATCATACTTATTCTGGAGAGGCAGCTAGCCCCATTAAGTTAATGGGGGAGTGGAGCAGACCTCAAGAGGGGGAATAAATCTATGCACTATTCCTAGAGGAGGGCCTAACCTTTATAAAACCACAGACGAGGCTGTTGCCGCTGGAGCAAATGAATCTATCTCTTCTTTTGGATATACACCTTTCAAATATGCAATTAACTTAAGTCAGAACATGCTCACCACATACCAACATTGCTACCTTCCGAAAGCTTAAACCTACATTGGGACGAAGGGTGACTCTTGTCTTGCATGTGCACAGTAGCATGACTTTCCCACACCGACTTGCATGCAGTAGCCAGCGTATCTGCGCATCTGGCCCCAGCGCTACACAAGCTGTGTAGTTGAAGCCACTGTGTCGTCGTCTTACCTTACTCGCTCAGTGCTGTGGGTGAGTGATTCGTTTTCTTTCTTCCAAAATATCTGAGGTGGTGGTACCCCCGAAACTCGGCATTCCAGCCTCACTGGGTATCCATCAGCCACCCCTGTGTTTTGCAGCTTCTCAATAAACACGGGGGCCTTGTGTGCTTCTTTAGCTAAGGGAACATGAGATGAGTCATCTGTTAGCGGCATACAAAAGGGTCTCCGCAAGGAACTCAGAGGCTTTAGAAAGATGGAGCCGCTCTTTTATGATACCATTTTTCACTCCACATTAAGAGGTGAGCCCTCTGCACAAGCAAAGGTCTGTACGCTTCGTTCCACTCATGTATTCCCTCAATTAATTCAAGACCGATAAGCCCACACAGTACCCGGACATCTGCTCCTCAGAATGCCTGCCTGAGAGGCCTCAGAGACTCAGAGTCATTGCTGGTGCCTGTGGAAGCTTTGCGCCTAATTAAGGCTCCCTGAGTGCACAGTCTTTATCTACTGGTGCCCCCTAGTGGTTCAGGACTAGGATTCACTGGCTGCCGCCTGAAATGGTTATGTTGAAGACTTAAGATTTGGAACTCATAAAGCAATGAGACACACCACACAGGATTTAAAAGGATGGGGGGGAATGTATGCGGAAAAGGCACGTTTATCTAAATTTGGCAATTTTAGACAGTTATCTATAAACTAAGGATGTGTAGGGTGTAAATTACAAATTCTAATCTGTGTTCCTTGAACACAACTTTATGATTATCGTATAGGATTTTATTACTTAGTCTTTTAAAAGTCAGGACTTGCTGGGCAGCATTGGCATACGCCTTTAATCCCAGAACTCGGGAGGCAGAGGCAGGCGGATCTTTGTGAGTTCCAGGCCAGCCTGGTCTACAGAGTGAGTTCTAGGACAGCCTGGGATGTTACATAGAGAAACTCTGTCTTGATAAACAAAACGAATAGGACCTATTGTAAGTAATATTCTGAACATTACAAGCCAACAGGAAACTGATTTCTTGCATCACTGGTGGAAACAATTTCAGAGAAAGAATAAGGTTTAATTTCACCTGAGCTCCCAACATTGAACCTAGAGATGCGCATCTTCCTGCACACTAACGTTGAGTCTCGGTCTTTGCCATCGGAGACTAGTTTGTGTCTTATGAGCTGTGTCACCAGTGATGACATGTCTCCGCATGATGATGAGATGAGATGATGAGATGTCTCCGCATCTCAACTAGTGGGGGCCATAAGGTGTCACAGCACTTTTAAGGGTTAAACTGGAAAAATGCGAATGAAGTCCTGCCCAGGCAGCGTCGTGCACAGTGTGCTCCAGATGGTGCATGCTGTCACTGGTGTGCAGTTCGGATACTCAGGCTGGTTTTAAACACAGCTATATGTTTACAACATGTATGTTTAAAACATACACGGGACACAAACTGATATCTGGTGGTGAAGCCCTTGATCCATGATAGTGTGCACTGCCTGCTCTACATGAGAGCTGAGGCGTGCCCCGATGTCTGTTTCTGGGCCCCTCACGTCTGATGGACAAATAGGACCAATGGGCATATTTAATACGAGAAAAATGAACAGTTTAGTTTGAACTTAGAGAAATAATGAAGCCAAACCTGCCATGTGGGCAGATAGAATACTTTGCACATTTAAATGCCTGGTTAAAATGACAGCATCTCTCATACATTTACCAGATTTTTGTGAGAAAAAACAAGTTGGCTCTGCCATTAAAACCTGGATTTTATAGCCAAGACCTCCCAGTTTATTCTCACTGCCTCTCTACTGAAGAAGCCGAGTGGTTCCCGGAGTGCTTGCAAGAGGCTGTCTTGAGTCTAATCCTAGCTCACTAAGGGGGCCCCAGGAAGCTGTGATTATCACACAGGGCTGATGCAAGGCCTGGCCAAGCTAACATAGATGATGACGTTGCCAATCAAGCTTTAACTGTGCTTTGACAAACTTCGTGATAGCCAGATGTCAGGCCGTCATGATCCTACTTCTGCCTTACTCCTCCGGGCAGTATAAATCTTTCCACAAAGGTTTGTCAAAGAGTCTAACCTCCTGTACACAAATTACTTACAGTATTGCTTAGAAAGCAAGTTTGAGTATAATTTGATACTGAATTGAGTGGAGATGACAACATTGCTTAAAGTTTTTGAGGTTTTTTAAAAAATATTTATTTATCTATTATGTATACAGTATTTAAGAGAGGAACCAGACCTCATTACAAATGGTTGTGACCACCATGTGGTTGCTGGGAATTGAACTCAGGACCTTTGGAAGAGTAGGCAATGCTCTTAACCACTGAGCCATCTCTCCAGCCCCAAGTTTTTCAGTTTTAAAATCGCCGTATGGTCTGTTAAAATCTGCCGTTGAACTCTCTATATGAAGTTCTGGAAGCCTGTCTGTCAGTGGCTCCTTCCCCGTGGAACACTAGGTCTGTTTTAGCCATGAAAAGGTGAACTTCCCAGATCTGCTTCCCTTCTTTGCTAGGTGATGGGAGAGAGAAAAGATAAACAATAGTGGCTATGCTAAGTAAGAAAACTGGATGCTGCCTAGTGACTAAGCCTTACGACATACTACCATTGTATTTGGTGACACAGTCTGTTGTGTCCGACCTTTGACTTATTTTCTACATCAGCTAATGATGATCAGCTGTGTCGTCTGACTTGTTCTGGCAGTGAGGAAGGAGTCACAGGCCACCTACCAGCAACCACAAGCTCCAGGTTAAAAGAGTTCTGTCCCGCTCTGTTGGTGGCAATACATGTGTAGATGCCGGCATCCCGGGATGTGACTGGCTCAATAATGAGGGAGTGGACTCCATTCTCACGGACCAGCATCTTGTGAGCACTGTCAGGGCGTATGGGCTTCCCATCTAGTTGCCAGCTGAGATCTGGGGTCGGCAATCCACTGACCTAAACCAGAAAGGAAATACACGTAAATTTCTCGGATACTAAAACAACCAAATTATCAAGAGTTATGTCAATTCCTCTTGAGTTTTGAAACACTGTATGAAGTGTTAGAAACAGTCTGTTGGACTCTCTATAAAGTTCCCGAAGCTCGTCTGTCTGCCACTCCTTCCTTACCAGTGGAACACTAGGTAGCACAAACAATGGCCTTTTAGATGGCTTTGTCTTGTGACTCTTTTGTTCAAAACCTTCCCATGGTTTCCATTAGCACGCAGAGACAGACTCACAACTAAACATTTCTTATAGAACAATCCAGAGATAAGTGAAACAGGGATTAAAACATATTTCTGTCATCATCTTACCTCACCCAAGACTATAAAAATTCCCAGGTGATGTCAGCACTGGGCTCTGAGCTCTTTGGAAGCAGAAGATGTGCAACCATTGTAACAATAACACTCAGCTCTAGGGCTCCAACCAAGGAGTGGCCGTTGCCATGGAGACGCTAGCTAATGCGTCCAGTAGTAAACAGACCTATCAGTATTTTATAACCCTTGAAACTGAGTAACAAGAGCAATTTGAAATCGCCCAGAAAGTCATAGACAAATTAGCACCACAATGGAAATATCGTAAAATCTTAAGACCCTGGCAGTGGTGTGGCCAGGGGTTGGATAAAAACACATTTAATTGTTAGTAACATGTTGCAAAGGCCTGTGGCCATCTGCCAGCCTTTTGTAATGTTGCCCTTGATTTTAATGTAGAAGAGCATTAAGGAAGATCTTCTGAAATCCCCCTTCCAGCGTTACTAGTGGGAAATCAGGTACTCTTCCCTGCAAAGAGACATCTATGGGATTATAAAATAATTCCTCCGTCCAAATCCGTCAGAGAACTCGCACATTCCATCCTGCCCCATGGTACGTATTTATTCCTACGACCAACCAAGTATCTGCTATACATGCTGTCGAAGTCTGGAGAATGTAAGGGGGAGAAGTGCAATTAAATAATAAGAGAATGGGAATCCAGAAAGAGCGAAGCTAGGAAGTGGTTTTAGAGGCAGTATGCGCTGTCGGTTGCCACCCCAGCTCTCCACACAGACCCTCTCCCTGTGGGGAAGACACAGAAATCACACAGAATAAAGCAGTGCATATTCCCATCTGGGTTCCAGGTCTTGGGGCGTTTATAGCTCATTCCCCCTTGATCACAGACACGCAGGATCATCTATACGCAGGAACTCTCTGACTGAGACCTTTCAGAGCAGTGCACAGAGGAGCGGTTCCGGTGGTGGTTGCTCATGCGCGGACAAAGGGAGCGGGTCCCATTCTCTCACCCCAGCGCTCCCAGTGTGTGTTGAGAACAGCATGGTATCAGGAGATGACGGTCATCCCAAGCTGGCTGCAGTCTGAGGAGCTGTGCTCTTGACCCATGTGGAGATGCAGAGAGAAGAGCACACCCCTCATACTCTGAAGTAGGTAGCAATGCACAGTGTTCATTCAAACGGCAAGACATTTGGTTCTCCTTTTGTGTTTGAGGCAAGGTTTCACGTGGTCCAGGCTGGTGACTATGTAGCCAGGGATGACTTTGACCGTGTGGTCCTCCTGCTTCTGTGTTCTTAGTGCTGGGGTTGATGCTTCTGCCACCACACCCAGCGACTTTCACACTGTCTTTACGCAGATTCTCAAATAAAGGAAAGTGAGTCGAAGGAGTGATTATCTTAGTTCTCAATGTCCTTTCAAAGGCAGGGATGGAAGGACATTTATGCTGCTGTCTAGAGCAATAAACCGTGGCTACTAGAGCCTCATGTATCAACTCACCACACCCACTCTTGCTACTTGTTGATATTTAAAATTAATCTCAGACTTGATGTAATTTTGTTTCTAAGTAATTCAGTACACATTTAAAAAATTACACATTTTTCTCATGTTTTCTTTTTTCTTTTTCTGAAATCGGGCCTGACTGTGTAATGCTGACTGACTTACATTTCCCCGTGTAGATTAGGTTAGCCTGGAATTCTCAAATATCCACCTGCCCCTACCACTTGAGCACTGGGAATAAGCATGTGTGCCACCACAACCTGGCCCACAGTTCCATTTTTAAACACGAAATTAATAACAATTTTAGGATGTCATCATTTTCTTTGTTGATAGAAATACCACCATATTGGTTATGTTTATAAGTTCTTTCAAAATTAAAAATTTACTTATTTAGAAAATGGAAAATGAAATTTTCCGTTTGTGTGTATTGCACACCGATGCTCTCTGGAATATGTGTACACTGTGGAATAGTTTCGTTGAGCCGAGCAGCATGTTCACTGTCTCAGGGGCGGAGCATTTCTTTCTGTGGCAAGAGCATTTACATCCTCCTGTCCGCAGCCTTCATGTATTTGAAGGGTTGTCAGTAGCCACCACGGTGAGCAATCGGTGTCTTGGACCTCTCCTGTGTGACTGACAGCTTCCCGGTCCTGCTCAGCATTATTTAATTCCTCCACTGTTGAGCTTTTTTAGATTCTGTTGCAGGAATTTTGTGCTGTAGTCTGATGGTCAGTGAAGTCAGACATTGGCTCGAGGGGCGGGGTTTGCATTCAGCTGGTCAGAATGGATCAAAGAGTTCCCCAAAACTAGAGAAAGAGTGGCCTCCAGCGAATAGGAGGCAGACAGGAAGGCGGCCCAGGCTCTGGGTGAGTCGGGAGACGGGGAGGCGGGGTTCTCGTCGATGTTTGTCTCAGGTTCTTATTTTTGTATTTGGTCCCCGAGTTTTATTTCATAATAAATGGCATAGAGATCGCAGCAGATAAGCGAGGTCATGTAGTGTTTGCCTTTCTGTGCCTGGGTCATTTCAATTAACATAAAGACCCGTCGGATCACCACGCTTTCACCCATGATGCAGTTTCTTCGTTCCATCTGTGGTGGGCGCTTAACCCGAATCTGTATTTTGGACACTGCATGGTCCCTGACTTGTGATTGCATTTCCTGTGGATCTATGTCCAGCGAGATCACACAGTAGCTGTAACATATGACTTCTTGTGTGTAGTGTGTGCATTTTCATGCGGATGCCTGTGCGCATGTCAGAGGTCAGAGGTCAACATCAGGTCTACAGTTCTCCACCTCATTTTGAGATAGGGTGTCTGGTTGAACTCAGGGCTCACTGACTGGCCAGACCGCCAGCAAACGAGCCTTGGGTGTTACCTGCGGCTACTACCCCATCGGTGGTGGATCGCAGGGCACCAGGCTATTACTCCACCGGCGGTGGATCGCAGGGCACCAGGATCTACCCCACCAGAGGTGGATCGCAGGGCACCAGGATCTACCCCACCAGAGGTGGATTGCAGGGCACCAGCTTTTCGTGTTGTGTTGGAGAGATCTGAATTCAAGTCCTCACACGTGAACAGCAGACATTTTACTGGCTGAGTTATATCTCCAGGCCCCTCAGGTGTGAGCCTGAGAAACTTTTATTTATTTATTATTTATTTGTGGCAGGGTCGCACTATGTAGCCCTGGCTGCCCTGGAACCCATTACAGAGATCAGGCTGGCCTCAAACCCACAGAGATCTGCCTGTCTCTGCCTTCTGAGTGCTGGGATTACAGGCGTGAGCCACTACACCCGGCCCCCTGAATATGTTAGTTCTTGATTAAAAATGAAGTCATGCTTTGAAATTCAACTTGTGTTTTATAATGTAAGAGGCACTACATTAGAAAACAAATTATTTTAAGGAATTCATTTATTCTTTTCTGTATGTTCTTGCCCACCATAAAACGAGTGACCTAAAAAATTAGGTGACTTCAAAGTAAATTACTAGGATTGAGTAAAGCCGGGCTAAGACTGAGGAGACATGTGATACTCCCTTCTCTACCTCAGAAATGCCTTGTGGTCCTTGGCAAATCTCTCCAGCTCACCGTCTTTCTCACACTGATAAAGGAATCATAATTTCTACTTTTGCATCTTCAGGAGTGATGTTTTTGGAACTAATTAAGACCACAGCTATGGCCTACTTTTAGAAATACCTGTATGCATTTTTTTTTCTCCTCAGACTAGCCGTGGTGAGCGCACAGTGCTTCCAGGAAACCTATTTTAACAGCAACGTTTTCAAACCTCTCTACAGAACACTGGTTAGTATTCATGTCCTGCAATTCCAGGGAGAACCAGCAGATGGCAATCAAATAATTTAAAAAACGATCCACATTTAAATTCTGAAGATTAAGAAATGCCCGGTGAACTCTTTACCTGTACAGGGTGGCGGGGGTCGGGGCGGGTAACGAAAGAGGAGGGAATAGAGAGGCAAGGTAGGTGAGGGGAGGAGCAGGGAACTAGAAACCAACCCAAACTAAATGTATGAAAATGCCTTAAGGAAATCTGTTAGTATGCAAACTAATTTAAATAACATTAACCAATAAAATCTACGGTAAGAAAGACAGTAATGCAGCAAAGGGAGGGATAAAAAGGTGAGCAACTTCATAGTGCAGCGAAATCATGAAGATCACGGATGACTGGAATGTATGGGAGATTCATCACATTTATTGTTGCTATAAAATGGGGTGGGATGGGAGGGGAGGAGGGTAAGACTTAGTGATTTCCTGAAGTTTAGGTCAGAGTAAAGAACATTACTGTATATAAAACACAGAGTCCGTTTCTCCTGAGCTGGGGTCATCTTGGACTCCACGGGAAAGACAGAGGGAAATGCCGCGGGCGCGCACACACGGACGCGCTTACCTTGCAGTCCATCCTGCAGAGCTTTCCTTCCTGGACCGTCAGATCTCCGGGAGCCTGCAGGAAGTGAGGTCTGAAGAATCGCTCCTGAATGGGCTCGTTTTCATCTCCACTGTCCCTTGATCGAGAGCGAGGCCTTGAGACGAGAGACGCGAGGGGCGGATCAATAGGACATACACGGTAGTTACTTCCAGAGGAGATAAACCGGTCTAAGTCCACCCCTCCGACATTTACACGCAAAAAATGCCACAAGAAGGCCTTGTTTCATTTGGAAGTTTATGGTTAATATAATAATCTCCAGTTAGCAGTCTACTAAGTCAGAGAAGGGAAATGGAGAAGGGGGTTACCATATTTGAGATTTTTTTTTCCTAATCAGAAATTTTTAAAGCTTTATGTTAGATTTTTGTTGTTGTTGTCTGTTTGCTTGCTTTTTTTGTTTTGTTTTTGTTTTTGTTTTTTTAAATTTTGTTTGTTTCTTGAGACATCTGTATAGCCCTGGCTATCCTGAAACTCACTCTACAGAGTGACCAGGCTAGTTTTGTTTGGAGCAAACAAGGTTTTGCCTCTGACTCCCAAGTGCTGGGATTAAAGCCATGCACCATTAAAGTAACGGTAGCTTTATTTTTCTTCTTTTTTAAAAATCAAATATTTCCCAGTAGAAATGAATATTAACTTTTCACTATGATTTAAATTTTGCACCTAATTATAATGTCTCACTTTATTATAATTTATTATAATTATAATTTCTTACTTTATAAAAATATAATTATTTCTCATCAAAATTCTTTTCATGTTCCTTGGGAAAATAAATTACATTTTTAGGCACATTTAATTTTTTATTAGTTTGTCTGTATGCCTAAAGGCTTTATTTTCTGCTTTAATTTATTTTCTGCTTTAAACGGGAGTGGTGCTGACTACTTTGTAAGTCAAACTTTGTTAAGTCTCCCCTGCGTGTGTTACGAGAGCAATAGACATGACAGTAGTAATGTCCTGGGAGACTTGAGAGGAAGGAAGATGTTACATGCAAATTTCAGAAATCATTAGGAAGATGAAGTTGAAAAGCAGAGAGAGGGAGGGAGGGGGAGAGAGAGAGAGAGAGAGAGAGAGAGAGAGAGAGAATACAGAATAGTGGAGCAAAGAAGATTTTCAAGTATGTCAGGCTAACAAAAACCAGCAGTTTCATAAAGCTGAAATACAGATATAGTGGACGACAATGCCTTGTGGAGCTGCTGATCTGTGGAAAAGTTTAGGTGTACTACTTATTGAAGAGAAGGAGAGGAGAAGGACCCAGAGTTATGTGTTTACAGCCACAGACAGAACAGGCTCCTGGGAGCTGGGGCTGCCTCAGGGAACGCAGAGTAGCGTCTGCGCATGCTCAGTCCTTGTGGCCGCGAGGGCTCTGTGGTACAGTCACTGGGTGACATGGCCTCCTCTTGTTTTCCGCTTACCTACTTTGCGTGCTTATCTCTCCACCAAGGGTGGAGCACGTGGGGCTCCGGGCTATTTTAGGAGGCTGTGTCTGAATCACAGCCAAGCATGATGGGCTGGCTGCCTTATCATATTCCTCTTAAGATTCAAAACTATTATTCCGAAATGGTGTCCATTGCCTGCCTGCCATCACTGCTTCAGGGTCTGGCAAAGACCTGGGCGTAGACATTTTCCAGATGCTAGAATCTCATGACAAGTCCTACATATACGATTTATGGTCTCATGGTGCTATGTTTTGAACTGAGTGATTTAAAACGTACACTTACCAAACTAGCTGATTAAGAATAGAGGTCACAGCGTACGATTGTCAGCTCACACACGGCTGTTGGTTTAGACCTGTGTTTGAACATCTGTGTTCTCTTTGCTAGTATTTTCATGTTCATGTGCCATGTAAAGGCCCTGAATCTTGATTTTCTCATGTTTTCATAAATTATGTCCCATTTAGCAAACTAAAGATCATGTATAAGAGTTTGGACACATATTGGCAAGTATTTGCTCCCTGCCATTCCTCAACTGCAAAGGGGCATACTAAAGACACCGCACACTTCAAGTCTGTGTTTGCTGTCATTGTGTTCACCCTGATTGTGGCACAGTGGTTTATAGCAATAACTGAATGAGAAGGAAGGCCCAGGGAACCCAGGAATGAGCATCGAAAATACCTTCTGGCATGAGGATGGCCCGAGGGAGAGCGGGGACTGCGGCCTCTTTGGTTGACAGCCTGTACCATTAGCCGTCCTGTACAACTGACACGACCCTGTTAGAGACATCAGAAGACATTACGTGCTATGCATGTAACCGCTGACCATCACACATTGGCAAGTACTGCATCTCATTATCCCTAAGACATTAGTTCTTAGTCATGTACCACTGGCAACCGAACCGAAGGGCCAGCGAAACCATTTGCTGAAGAACTCGGGTGACAGGGGCCTGTTTTCTCTAGGTTTGCATTAGAAATAACACCCCTCATAAATCCACAAAGTAAGGTTTCCCTAGCACATGAAGCTGAGTTGTAAAATACAATGGGAGACTGTTTTTCTCTTGCGATCCTCCATTTTCATAGTCAAACATTCGAACATGTATTTATTGTGGCCGATTCTGAGATCAGAATTAGATGATTTTAGCTTTCTATCAGGTCTTCTCAGCAATACTGCCATTAGCAGTTAGTATTATTGCTTTGCCCAAGCCATGCACTAAGGGACGCCTGCATGATACAGTGAGCATCCTGTAGGAAGTGTGCGTAGACAAGGTGAGTGTCTCAACGATGTGCCAAAATAAACAGGTGTGCGGTTTAAAACCAGGAGTGACTGGATACCCAGAACATGTGGCTCACAAGATAAAGGCCCAACTAATGAAAAGTTGCATTTATCTCTTAAGTTACAATAAATTGTAAGTAGACACATGTGATACTTAGAGGCCCCAGATGACAAGAATAAGACACCAGATCTTGCTCCGGAGTTTGGTTTCAGCTTTTCTCATGCTATTACTAACAGGCAGCAACATCAATGAGTCCCTCTCCCACTTCTCTGAATGAGTTGTCTCTAACTTCAGAGGCAAAATAGAAACAGCAAGAGAGGGGACATGAGAAGCAGAAATGCCATTAATAATTAGGCTTCATGAATTCCAGCTTGGGATGGATAGGAAACCCTTGTAGTAAGATGCCAATATAGACAGGAATGCGGCCGTGTGTTGGGGGCTGGAGTTCCAGCCGAGCGTGGGCAGGGCAGATTGCATTAGAATAAACAAGGTAGGATATCATAGCCAGAAACCCACAGTAGGATTTCCTGGAGGGCAGAAATCCAGTCAACCTTGGTCTCTGGTCTTCCCAAGCATGACTTCTCCAGGGATGCAGCCACTCAGAAAAGGCAGACCAGAGAAGAGTTCTTACTACATAGAAAGGGGTAGATGACAACGAAATGCAATAGGCTCCTCCCACTAGACAGTGAGTGTTTCTAGCACTCAACATTTCTGCAGAGTGGAGCCCAGACTCTGTCTTTCCCCAACACTGCTGAGGAGAGAATTAGGAGGAGGACTGTTCCCCCATTAGATCTTAGACTCACTGTGCCTGAAGCCCAGGCTACACACAGGTGCTCATAGTGTCTCAGCAAACACTCGAGACTCTCTAGAATAGCTAGGAATCAGGAAGTTAATCTCATCCAAACCTTCTAAATCGTACTCACTCTGGGAAAATCTACCTGTGACTCACTTAGAAGATCTTTCTCCATTAATTACTCCACTGATAAATCATGGTAGATGCTTTATCAGATGAACACATAAAATCTAAGATCTCCCTTTGAGACCGAGAACAAGAAAGACCATGTTTGTGTTTCGCTGACAGCCTTACGTATACTGACGTGGGCTGTGGATTCTGTGTCTGTGTTTCTGATTCAATGGTGGGATGTATAGAAATTAATACACCCTTCCTGTGGCATAAGCCCAGGACGCATGAAAAGTTTATGTTAACCAATCATTTATGTAGTCAGAAGATCATGGAGTATAAATTAAATTCAAACCTTAACTTTGAATTTAGGAAAGCAAACGTGAATAGCTTAAAAAAATCCCCTTAAAATCAATTTGAATTCTGGTTTTCTTCTACAACTTTGGGCAAGATAAGGCTAGATGAACGAATACACATATGCACACCTCACAAAGATGCTGTAAGGTTTAGATGCTAAAGGAGGAGGTTACCATTTATGATCTTTCTACTTACATATTAACATTCACTTCTACATATAAACAGGGAGGGCTTGGTCTTCGAGAGGTAGGATTATATGTCTGATTACTTTGTTGTTACTGGCTAAATATATCACTGCATCACAAAGATGCCGCCTGTGTGCACCAGAAGAAAGTTCCGCCTGTGCACACAACGAGAGAGTTCCACCTGTGCACACCAGGAGATAGTTCCGCCTGTGCACACCAGGAGAAAGTTCCATCTGTGCGCACCAGGAGAAAGGACAGGTGTGAAGTCTGAACACTTTACTAAGAGGGTGATCATTTGGAATCAGCACTGAGGATTTTAACCCTCTAAATATTCCAATCAACCCGAGGAACCATGAAATTATGCACAACTACACGAAATTGTACTTGGTTTTAATTTTCTGATTTCCATCTGCTCTATTAACTTGTGGAATGGTAATCAAGTGAATTCTTAAGCAAAGCCCAGACTAAGCCTGGGAACCCCATCCCAACATAAACACAACCGACACATTAACTTTCTGTATTTAACTCAGCCCTGTGTTAAGTCTATTTCGGGGGGAAAATTCAGAGTTTAAAGTCACACTACAAGCATGAAGTTTGAATTGTTACAGTGATTCTCCACGAGACGTCTAGTTTGTGGAGGTTATTCAATGCCTCATCACTCGCGCCCAGTGTTTACATGATATGAAAATAACATTTATGTTTCATAGTTTATGAGCCTAACTCACGGCACACAAGCCCCTGCAAAAGCCTGCCGCTTGTGTACATCATGCAATTGGAGGAAACAGCAAGCTGCAAAACAGCCCTCCCAAACCCAAATGCATCATCAGGTAACTTAGCAACGCAACAAAACACAGCCAAACACTCATGTTTAGATTCAGCTGCATCTTAAAGACAGGATTAGAGTCTGAAACAACCGTTTCTGGGCTCTGCAAATTGGCAATGTCTGGTGTAGTGCTGTACAGTCACGTTAAGCTCTGTGAGCGCTCTGGTCTCTGATGAATTGCTGGGGCTGGACACGTGGAGTACAACACATGGCCTAAGCGACACGGGTTCGGAGCCGTGTGTTCTGTCCCAGGTCAAATTTGGAGGGTGCTAACAATATCTAGCATGTTTCTTAGTCCCCAAAGATTCATCGAGGTGGAAAAATACCCTGTTTTAAAATATCCTGCTGAGAGTCAACATCTTCTTTCTTGCGTGCTTTCTGTAGGCATTTGCCCTGTGCGGGCAACCCCTGCCTTCTGTGCCGTGTTACTGAATTCATTTTCACTCTGATCCCGTCCTCTTCCTCCTGGCCATTTCACATCACGTAGGCCACAGACTATGACCTGTCTCCCTTCCCAGCTTTCACGATTAGAAAAGAACAGTTGAAGAAGCTAAAGGCCATCAGGGCCTGCAGTTTTCGGTCAGCTACACTTGATGTCTCGGAGAGTGGATGTGTCTTGAGTTAGTTTTCTGTTTTGATTTCCTATCCGTGTCTACTTTGGGCAGTACTCCTTTAAATTATTTCAAATGCACAAATGACAAGAACATGACAACAGTTCCGTATGCAATACCAGGTGTCCTAAGGTTGCGACTGTGGCTGGTTAATTACTTTTCACACCATGTGTCCAGAGCCACAGGATATCAGGTCGGCCAACGTGTAGGCAGAGAAATGGCCTGTCACTTGTTCTAATTTCAATGCCACCTTTTCTTCATGTATAGGAAGATTAATCTCATTATCTATATAGGAGTCACAAAACCTACATCTGGCATATTTTGACAGGATGCACCAGCTCCTAATGAGTCAGGATGGATAAAAAGGTTTTACTTCGGGAATTAAAATCACCCTAGGACCATGACCAGACACTTTGGGCTAGCGATTACTGTAAAGTATCACAAATTCCTGAACCCGTTCCCAGCGATGCTGACGGGATGTAAACATCAACACAACCTGTTCCCAAATGTCCACTTGGAGGGTTTCTGCAGACTGCCTTCTGGAGCCCGCCACCCTGCTCTGTGGCGGTGGAGATGGAACCTTGGTCTCTTACGCAGGTGGCTAAGGGCTCTACCTCTTAGCTGGATCCTAAGCTTCCCCTGCTTCGTCTTCATTCTTAGGTCCATCTCGTAATGGAAGCATTGCGGGCAGTTTGAGATTTAGATCTGTAAGTAGTGGTCTAAGAATGGGATCCTAGGGTTTACTGAGGATCCAGTAGGAGGTTTGCTCCTCCTGGTCAACTCAGAGAATTCATTCTAATCACCCTTTTCTTAAATCACAGGAGAGGGAGAGCTGGGATTCTGTTTTTTTGCTGATGTCATCTGGTCCACTGCTAACATCTCTGTATTTTCTCCTGGAGGCAGGAGGCAGGAATTAAAGAGGCTAATCATGAGGGTTTAGCCTGGGCTTCACAAGGCAGAGGTACTGGGACTTAGAGTGAGGGCAGTTAAGTATTCTTTCCAACTTTCTCTTGGCTCTGGGTTTGCTGAGAGCAGAGCAGCTTCCCAGTTCATGTGTGGCCCCCAGCATCAGCTGTGCTGTGGGTGCGGCCCTGTCTCTAGTTCACACAGTGGTGTTTGTGGCACAGCTGCATCTGATGCCCCCCTTCTTCCCCACGGGTGATAAAGAGAACGGATGGAGGTCAGAAGACCACACAGCAACTTTTCAAATCCCAATCCCAGCCGACTTGCTTGCTTCCCCACAGTGATGTGGGGCGGACTAGCTCTCATAGGTCTGGCCTTTGACATCTTGGTTTCACAGGCTCTCCTAAGGGTCTAGCTATAGTCTGTAGTGGATGAATCTGTGTATGTGACTCAGAATAATGGTAACATATAGAAGGTACTCTATATGTCAAATAAACCAAATGCTTTTTACACGCACTATGTAAATCCATGTTGTGATCTGTGTTTTCCGTAGGAGGAAATGGAGAAGTGAACTGATTCCGCAAGGCCGTAGGTAATGTGTGGCAGAGCTGACATGTGCTCAGAGCCGTCAGGGGCTGGAGCACAACCCTGGCTCCTCACAGACACCATCTGTGTTGTGTCTTTCTTCCATGTTCCTTCCTTCACTCTGTTCCTTTGTTTACAACTTGGAGGAGTTGGGGGCTCTGGTTTATACACAGGCTTTGGGTAAGATTATATTTTTTAACTAGAAAATGTAATTACATGTATTTATGAGCGTAATCTGATATTATAGGCATGCGGTGTGTACTGATCTCGTCTTAGTGTCTCCCTTTAACTAGTGGCTGCAGTACAGTTTGTCAAAACAGTCTCTATACCCAGACATACTGACCCTTGGGGCTGGCCGCTGTGTGAAGTCCTGTCTGTGCTCTGCTGTCCCTTGTTTAAAGCTCTTCTGTGCACACACACACTTTGGAAGAGGGCTAGAAGCAGATTCAATTGCAGTTTTGCATCTGCATTCTTTTGTCTTTAAATTCTACCAACAATTCCAAACATGCCAGGAAAGTGCACTGAAATTAATAGCAGGGACTGGTTCTGGCAAGTGCTGAGGAGCACCGATAATTCTGCCCCACAGGAAGTCCTAACCTTACTAGAGAGAACCCAACTGAAAGATTCTTGGTTTTGGTGATTCTCCAGCATTTGTTTTTAAGTAATCAGAAAACTGAGAGTTGAAATGTGTTAATAGTCAAGGAAACATACTGGAAACCAGAAAAAGGAAGGGGCAAGTTCTACTTCTTCTTTTCCTCCCAAATACATCAAATAGGGACATAAACATTAGGATGTATGTTTTATGCCTCTCTCTGTGTGTGTGTGTGTGTGTGTGTGTGTGTGAGAGAGAGAGAGAGAGAGAGAGAGAGAGAGAGAGAGAGAGAGAGGGAGTTTACATGTGTGTACAGGTGCATGCACATGTGTGCATATGGAGGCCAGAGGTCATTCAACATTAGATGTCTTCCCCAATCACTCGCCACTTAAGAGATAGGGTCTCTCTCTGAGCCTGGAGCTCACCGATTGTGCTAGCATTTCTAGGCAGTAACCCCGAAGATCTGCCTAGTCTGCCATGCCAGTGCTGGGTACCATCACAACCCAGCTGTATATGTGGGTGCTGAAGCCTCAGGCCCTCATGCTCACACAACAGGTGACTTACTCTCTGAGCCATCACTTCACCCCCTTTTAAGAATGATTTTCATTCTATTTTTTCAGGATGGTAGTCACGTGGTCATGAGTAACAAAATTAGAGCCTCAAGAAGGTGCTTAATATAAACACGTTTCCGGGCAGAGAGGCCGCTGTGCTCTTTGGTAACCCGGTTATCCGGATAAACTGTCTCAGTCTAAATTTTGATAGTGCACACAGATATCTTTATAGAGAGACTGGTATTTGGATAGGAAAAATCTCATAAAGATTTGTTTTGTTAAAATATCACCTTCTCCCATTTAGTACTAGCCAGGCTGCCTCTGATTAGCTCAGAGGTGGAGAGAGATGGGGTACATTCATCATGGTATGATCATACACTAAAATATATCCTAACCCAGTATTTTGAAAGCGATGAAGAATGGAATGAGATAAATGGACTGGGATTTTAAAATATGACTTTCTTCATTAATTATATAATAACTTTGTTGATTTTAGCCCTCTTCTTTTAAATATATGTCGGATATACTTCTGCAGACTTGTGAGAACCTTGTTACACACACAGAATAACCCCTGTTCATTTTGTCTTTGTTCCCGGTTGTTGCATAAGGAGCCGCTGGCTGCATTCCCACCGGGATCCCAGCTCCCCAGCTAGTTTACACCCGAAATAATTACAAGGAAACTGTATTCATTTAAACACTGCCTGGGCCATTAGTTCTAGCCTCTTATTGGCTAACTCTCACATCTTGACTAACCCATATCTAATAATCTGTATGTCACCACGAGGTTGTGGCTTACCGACATGAGTGTAGCCAATGTCCGACTAGGGAAGGGGAATCATGGAGTCTGCCTCATTGCCTTCTTCCCAGCATTCTGTTCTGTCTACTCCGCCTACTAATTTTCTGCCCTATTAAAAGGCCAAGGCAGACGCCATCTTTATTTAACCAAAGAAAGCAACACAAATACAGAAGGCCCACCTACATCACCTGGTGTATGATCCTCAGTGAGAAGGAATCGACAGGTTTGAGTTGAGAGTGTGATGCCCAACAGCTAGTCATTAAATTTAAGAAGGCAACTGCTTTTTCAACCCTAAGTCCATGAGCAATAGAACACCAACCATTCTGATACAAACAAACCCTGAATCTACACATGGGTGCTGTTGGTGGGGAAGTCTACTAGTAACTTAAGTTCTGGACCAAGCTTTCCATTGATGTTTACATGCAGTTATTTTCAAACAGTTTGGGTTTGTCTAGTATGATTGTACACGGCACCACTTCGTCTGTATCCTGCTCCCCTTCTCTATTTTCTCACACTTAACTCTATTGAAATCATAGTTTATTCTTTTAGAGGCTTCTTTTTCTATATCCAAACCTTACCCTCCTTCCACTGCCCCTCCATAGCCCCAGTAAGGGGATCATATAAGATACACTTGATAGTATTCGTGAAAGGAATGGACACATGAGCCAGGATCATTCCTATAGGAATTCTTGATGGAACAAATGCTTGCAAAACAAACTTTCTATCATTGGACGAGAGAGAGAGAGAGAGAGAGACAGAGAGAGAGAGAGACAGAGAGAGAGACAGAGAGACAGAGAGAGAGAGAGACAGAGACAGAGAGACAGAGAGAGACAGAGACAGAGATAAAAGATGTAGAAAACAGTTTCACAGGTGGAAAAAACATGCAGCTTCACCTTTTAATTCAGCAGTTCCTCTGCCTGATCATAGGCTGAGCCCCAGCCACAACCGCAGCCCAGCCCCCGTCTGCTCTCACCTGAGGATTGGCAGCCATGATCGTGTAGTTCCCGTCATCATCTAGGGTGGAGGCTGTGGTGTGGAGGGAGCAGGTCCCATCGAGATCTCTCTGAATGATATAGTGATCACTCTTTGGAGAGATCTGCTTCCCATCTTTAAACCAGTAGATCTGTGGAAGAAACCAAGGATAACGGCTGTGCACGGCCCCTCACGGTTCCGATGTGTCGCCGTGCCCGGTCTGCAGCGGGCACTGCTAAAATGCTAAACCAAGCATCTCATAAGAGATCGAATTTTGAGCAATAAAAGGAGGTAACCAAGAGCAAATCCAATTTCACTTTAGTTTTTAAAAGTTGTACATGCATGCGTATGTTTGTGTATGTGTGTGTGCGTGCACATGTATGCGTGTGCACACACGTGTGCACTTGTAGAGGCCACAAGAGGGTATCAGGTCTCCTGGAGCTCCAGTTGGGCTGTGAGTCACCTGTTGTGGGTTCTGGGAATCAAACCTAGATCCTCCAAAAGAGCAGTGAGTGCTCCAAGCTACTGAGCCATCTCTCCGGCCTGCTGTACCTCAATTTTTGTTTAATAAATATATGCTTGAAAAATTTAACTTTTTTCCTCATTGAAACTGTTATTTACATTCATATTATTCACATGAAGTAATATGTGTCTACCTACCTATATACAGCCCTGATAGTGATTAGCTCCATGAAGTGGCACTATATGCATTTTTATTTTCTTTGCAAATGTATTGGCAATTAAAATGTTTTCCTTGTAAGGTAAAGGTGAAAAGCTTTATAGAATAAAAATGACTTTATAGAATAAAAATGACTCCAAACTGTTTCTGGTGGCTTGTGTGCAAAAAAGTGTACCAGGGAGGGAGCACACACAGTCGGATGATGGCTGCAAGGCCACTGTGTACTTCTGGGTCAAGACGCAAATGACCCATCTTTCTCAACTCTCCCCAGTACCTTTAAAAGGAACACCGTATATTTGAAAGGCACAATATTTTTAACTATGTAAGTTGGACTGATTGAAAACTACATATTAAAAATAATTAGGTAAAAATAAATCTTGATCAAATAAAAAAAATTTGTCTAAAGTTCCAAATTTTGCAGGGTAGTGGTGTGGTTGTAATAGGAGACCAGGAAGATGCCTAGCTAGGAGACAGAACCTGCTTGGGGTGGTGTGAGGTGAAGAGCCCGGGAGGGCCAGGGAAAGAAAGAGAGCAAACATAATGACAGGCTGTAAAGAGGATGCCACGGTGCAAGCCGTCGCCCAGCGTGTTCACCTAGACAGCAATGGAAAGCTTTCTGCCCTGGAGTTAGGAAGACTGGACACGTTCAGTCCTGAATAAACACGCCCTTTCTTATCCTCTTATAGCCATAGCTTTACTAACTTACCCTTTCCCCCTGAGAGAAAGGGCCGCACTCTGTAGCTCCGACTGGCCTCGAACTCAGAGGTCCGCCTGCCTTCCTTCCCTAGTACTGGGATTAAAGGTATGCACCACCATGCCTGGCTTTCTATAACTCCTATGTTTTTTAAAATTGCATCCAAGCTATAAAAACTGTATTATGTGGTAACCACCAGAATTGGATTAACTTTCAGGTCTAAAATTACATTATAAAAGGCATCAGTCCCCACCCCCATCATGCATTTTTATTGATTTGATTATTTCTGATGAAGCAAAGGTACAACTAGAGCATTCCTCCTCATGCGTTGCTCAGGTATTTTCTTACAGCAATGCTTTAAAAAATCACGTCGCTTGCTTACCTTTGGCTTTGGATTCCCAGCCACTCGACACGTGAAAGTCACAGGCATCCCCTCAAAGATCTTGTAATGTTTCAGCTTCATCTCGAAGAAGGGTGCTGCGGCACTTTCGCCAGGCACTTCCGGGTACTGCAGCTCGTCGCCGGACTCGTCCACAGGAGAGCGCTCCAGCCGGTACTCTATCTCACTTATCAGTCTCTGTTCGCAGCTGGAGACTTTGTACTCCTAGGCCGGACAAAGAAGGCCCAAGTCAGCACCTCCTAGGCAGCAGCTCCCTCGCTAACAAAAGCTACCAGAACACGGGGAGGTAGGGGTTACAGTGAACCATGGTCTGTCTGGGCTCAATTCGACTTCATCGGGAAGCAGGGAGCCATATGGGATTGGGTTTGGGTGATATTTAAAATTATCTTCAAGTCTGATTCCCCAAATGAAACAAAAGCCATAAATAAATAAGCAAGCACCCACTACCTTTCCTGGGAAGGAGTGGAGAGGAGCACTTAAAATACGAAGGAAAGGCTATCCATCCTAAATTCCTGAGAAGGAAACGTACTGGTCTCTTCTATTAGGTAAAAACGGATCTGGGCCGCATGCCTCTCTGGAAGGCTACTAGTGCATGGGGCAAGCAGCCGCAATAGTGCTCAGAATTTTGTCAAGTCAATAAGGGACAGCACCACGTCTTTCAATTTTCGCTCCTCTCTGAACACACAACGCACACATTACACTGGGGCTTCCTCTAAAATCTGCAGCTATTAGGAGCCCATCTCTTAAACAAAGGCAAGAATGATATAGCATAGCCACAACTTGGGTTAAAAAACAAAAGCAACACCCAGACTCTATCACATGTGGCAATGTTCAGGGTGGAGCCTGCAGTTCCTTGCTTGCAAATTCCCATGCACACAGAGTAGCCCACCATTGCACATTCCCTAGCTGAGTAGCAGGCTTTTTTTTTTTTTTTTTTTGATAGGCTCTTGCTATGTAGCCTAGGCTAACTTTAGCCATCCTGATTTCTCAGCTTTCCAAATCCTTGGATTGCAGATGTCCACGATCATGCTTGCCTCTGAGACTATTTTACTTATGCTTCTCCCTTTAAAAAGTTCCTCAATCTTCAGAAAAGAGTTCACTGGTGTGAGGAAAGGAACCCAGCAGTCAGAATAACGTGATGAAAGCCACACGTTGCAAGCTGTTTCATGTCATGTAATCCCCATCAAATGTATCACCTCCCCCTCCCAGAAAGGTGTCTGATGAATGAAAAACTATTCATGCCTTAAAGTTTAGTGTATTCACTCAGGCTAGAAATTAAAGTCAAGTTTGCAGCTAAAGGTTAAGAAAAGGCACCCTGCAATAAATAGGTTTGTTTGCTACTCCATGACAAACTGGTACCGGCCACCGTATGTATAATTACCACATAGCCGTGAAGACAGACACACAGATACGAAAGGAAGCACAGAAGGTAGGTACAGTGGGAGACCGGACAGAGGAGAAGGGCGGAGCTTAACCTTTTGACCATCCAGAGGACTTCCTACAGAAGCCCGAGGAGCCCCGGCATCCTGAAAGGCAGAAGAGAAGAAGTGAAGACCAGGAGGCAGATGCAGCAGGATTTCCAGATTCCCTTGAATGGGACGTTGGTGGTGGTGAGCTTGAGGCTTCTGAAGGGAAATCTGTTCTCAAGGACTGGGAGAAGAGGCCACCTGATCCTTTAGACTTGCTTTAACATTTTCTTGGGCCTCTGGTTTGCTTTTCATTTGAGGCTACATCTAAGCACTCGAATTGGATTAATAGAATTATAAAGCAGGTTACACCAGATCCACAAGACGACCTTTACTTTGGTAGTAGCAGGGGCGTAAGATAGCCCTTTAGATCTCTGCCAGTTAGTGTTTTATGGTCACCTACATGAAAGAGGGCAGAGGTCTCTTTTCTGAGCATAGGGGGTCTAATTTTGGCTGACATTAAGAACATGATGGGGACATTTATTAGCTTGCTTCAAAGACCACGAGTGAAATGGTTTTCCATTCAAAGCCATTTTGCATGAAAGCATAGGACAGTTTGGAAGCATGAAGATACTGGGAAGGAAAGCCCGGGGATCAACACCAGGTATCAAGCAGTGGGCATGCTCTGGTCATCCATCACGGCGGTGGTCAGGCATCTGCCCAGTGAGCATCACCTGTGAGGCTGATGGGACAGCAACCCTGCTTTTCTGCGACGTGCCTGCTACTTCTCACACAACTGATCTCAAGAGCAGAGCCCAGAAAGAGTGTGGGGAGAGTGGGCAAAATGGCGATTATATCCCAGGAAGTTCAAGGAGCATGGTACCTGATTGGCTGCCGTGTCTTCTGGCTCTTGGACGCTGAAGACATTTGCACTGTCAGCACCGAGCAGGCGGCGAGCCATTCTTTCCTCGTACGTTAGCCTCTGCGCAAAACAAGTCACAGAAACACGGAATTAGGGGAACATCGCGTTTATGCGTTGCTAATAGAAAAAGAATAAAAAACATAGCATAGGTTTTGACATTTTTCTGTCACTATCTAGTCTCTCCTTGGCTTCATAGCTCTATCCCGAAGAGTCTGTTTCTCCATGTTGGTTCCAGCCAGCGACAGAAAGAGAGTTGCTAAAAGGGACACTGTGAGGAAAAGCAGGTGTTGACGGCAGAAACAATCCTATCGGTCAGTCCCCACTCCATGTGACACCAGAATATGCTCAGCAGGAGCACATGGCAGTATGAGCTCAGCTGGCAGTGTGAGGCCAGCTCCCCTGGAGCTTCCCTGCCTCGGCTGCTATGAACTGTAGGCAGCTTGAAGCAAATGCGATCTGCAAAGAATGACTACACATGGCTGGAGTAAGGACAAGCCAGCATCCAGCATCCACCATTCGTGACTCCTCAGATGTACACTGTCTGCCCACTGGGAGGAAGGCCATCCTGCTGCTCCCTCTAGGTGTCTGCTGGGCTGCTCCTGTGTGTGGCATGCCAGCCGCCTTGTGATCCTTGTACTTGCGCATTGTTTCTATGTACCTTAGAATTACAGATCTTGGAGGAACTTTGAGAGCTCACCGATCCCTTCAGGGGTATTTTCAAACAAGGGATTGATTAGAAATAAGGAATAATTGGTAGAGTAGAATCTAGAAATATATAAAAGTACAAGCATTATTTTAGATGAGCCCTCAAATTTCTGAATGTCAACACAAACAGTATTCAGCATTCTCTAATCAGAAAAATATGTTGGATGGATTTACAGTTTCCAGTAATTGCTGGTTCTGGTCCCAGCTGAAACTGGGAAGTGAAACAGATCAAGTGCCAAATAGTACTAAGGTTGAAATGATTTCATTTGCTAAAGAAATGGCAGGGGACCCGAAGAGGGTGTGTGAAAGTTTGCAGGGAGTGATTTGATCCAGGGATTATGCAAAGTGATTTTATCAATTCTCTTAACTGGAGGGAGGTCAGTTTTCAAATGGAGGTTTAGATCTCTGCTCTCTTACAAAGTCTCCCAAATGCTATGGTGGAGAACAATGTCATCAGTGGGAGGCCTGTTCCACATAGGCAGAACTAGCAACTGGTACCTACTCCTCACCAAGATGTCCCCATTACCCTGAGAGCCATTTTCACTTCACAGTTTTGTTTCTATGTCACTGTGCCGTGTGGAACTAGAAACCCTTGTCCAGAGAAGCCAAAATAAGTAACAGAGTATTATGTAATGCTACAAACAACTCATTTGAGAATTCCCTTTTTGAAAAGAAGAACCTACCTTTTCTTGTCCAAAATTATCGAATGTGGGAATGATGAAACTGACTGTGAGGGCTTAGTTATTGCTAAACAGATAAATATAAATAGTGTGTACATACAAGAGTCATAAAAATATATGCAAGTCAAGTAAAAAGTATATATACCAATAATATGGTTGAGTTGTAGCTTATAAAAGCTTTATTTTTTATCCAAGAGAAGCCCCATCCATAAGGAATATTTAAACAAAAAAAAGTAGTGTGTCCTAGGGGATTTGGAGAGATGCCCTCACCTGGCTAGAAAAATATTCCCATAAGCATCTGTTTTAATCCCCCGAAGGCTTTGTTGACAGCGCCAGGAAAAGCATCCAGACTGTGTGAGCGCTTGTCAGGGGCCATGTTCCCCTCTTTGCAGAGCCCAGGCAAGTGAGCACCACAAGGCTTGCAAGAAGCTTAATCTTTCTTAGATTGAGAACACTTAATAATTGAAACCAGCGTTTCAATTTCCTCTGTTCTCCAGCCTGCCAATTAAATGAGGCTCATCCACATTTTTATTGATGTTTCATGATTAAAAATCCCAGAAAGTTAAAGTGTTTTCTGTTCTGAAAAGGCGTCTGAGAGGACTTTATCCAGCACCTCCTTCTGCTGAAAAGCCAAGTTTATTTTTCTAGTATTTCACAGTTAGTCAAAAAAGACCCATCTCTTAAGTTCAGGCTGCCTGATTTGCTAGCTTTCCTGAGCCCTTGAAACCCCCGAGATGATAAGAAGAGGGTAAGTAAGCAAACCAACACAGCTGTGGGATATCTAAGTAGTTTACGCACTTAGTCGCTAACCTATAGCCTTAAAGCATAAGTAGTTTGTGTTGTCAAACTTGGAAGTATAGCTTTAAAGCTCTGATCAAGACGGTGGGACAGGCATTGCTCAAGGTGGTGGAGCAGGGTCTCTTCAGTCAGGGAGGGTACGGTTTCACCTTGGTAATGGTTTCACTAGCACAGGTTATTCTGCGTGGAAGCCTTTCATTCCAGGTCACTGCTCCGGGTGCCTGCGACCTCCGACCACCTTCCTGATTCCTCCCGAGGAGCCACCGGGCTAAGGTGGAATCTCTGTGCATGTGGACAGCTTATAGAGGCACCATTCATCATGTGTTGTGGTTTCAACCCTAGTAGCTGCCCTTCCTACTTCCTTTTCTCTCCTACTCACTAGGAGGGATGATGAGAACAGCCTGGTGGGCAAGTCTTATGAACCAGGAGAAGGGATCTGGGGAGCGGGGAGCTAGGATTCGGAGTGTAAGCCCCTCCTCCATCAGTACCGGCTGGCCATTGTTCAGAAGGTCCTCCTTGAAGCGAAGTTTCCGCTCCAGGTCTTGAATGACAGCATCCTTTGACCCTTGAATCTCCTCATCGGAGGCTATTCTAGCAGTTCTGCTGGCCTTCTTCGGAAACCCCCTGCACAACGAAAGCAGAAGGGGTACAGTCAACATGAGTCCAAGTCAAACAAGTTCAACAGCGAAAGCACAATGTAGCAAGATGCCATTCACAGTTTATCTCTGTAAAGCACATACAGCCGTTCATATGAAGAGAACCATGGAAGATGCTTTCAGGAGTTCGGGAAGCACCAACTGAAATCAGTTCTTGGAGAAGGTTCAGATAGCCAAGAGGCATCTCCAATGGCGAAGTAAATGTCACAGATGGGATGCCAGTGTTTCAATCCTAGGGGGTAGGAACGTGAAGTGGAAAGGTGACGTGGCTTGCTATCAGGTTTAAACAGGCTCGATCTAGGTCCTGTCAAATTTCTTAAAGTTGCTTATTAATTACATATAAAATGAATACAAATCAATGCAACGTGAAGGTCAAGAGGGTTTGAAAAGGGCAAATTCCTCTCATGATTTTTTAAAAACAATTTCTGGTCCTTCATAAGTCACTGTATTCAATGACAGGACTTGCCTCATTGTAAGCTACTCACCACTTATCAGAAATACCTGGGGTCAAGATTCTGGGGATGGTGCTCAATTGGTAGAGTACTTGCCTAGCACACACCAAAACCCGGGTTCTACACTCAGCACAGAGATTAAACCGAGTGTAATGCCTGTCATCCACACACTTGGGAGGTGGAGGCAAGAGAGGCAGGGGTCCAAAGTCATTCTCAGCTACATAGCAAGTTCAAAGCCAGCCCAGACTATACAATACTCTGTGTTAAAAAAAGTGAAAATCCTTCATGTGTCTTCTACATTTTATACATAGAACCCTAGGGCATTCTACACAGACTCCTTAGTGTGTCTGTATGTAGTGTGACCCATCACAGGAAATTATGTGTGGGAGTTTTCACGTACAATGTCACGTGAACGCCCCAAACAGTGTGTATTTGGGAGTTTAAAAACTCGATTTTTACATTATGGATATTCGACCTGAATAACATTTGCGACTTCCCCTCCCATCTCCACACATTCATCTATTTAACTAATGTAAGTCTGAATTATAAGATCTTTGGTGTGATTTCATACAAGAGGGCTCTGGCTGGCCTGCATGTCTTAACATGGCTGGTAAGCCGTAAGTCTGAACGCCTACAATAAATAGGTCACCTTATAGGTAACACTTCTTTCCGAAGGCTGCAGCAATTCCTTAACTGGGCGCCAGGGGGCACCAATGCTGCGTGCTGGGGAGGTGTGGACGCCTGCTGGTGTCTTAAGTAAACTGCCTTCTATTTTTCTGTCTCTGTCCTGATCGCCTCAGTGGGTAGAAATCAAAGAGAGCCTGAATGTGATGCAAAGGGAAAATGAATGACCTATTGCCACCTTATTCAATTAAAAAAAAAAAGCAAGTTATAGAAAAATGCATTTAGTACTTCCACTTAGAACGAGGCAAAAGCTAGTCTGGTGTGGGGCGGAGGCTCTCTGAGCTTATGGGCCAAAGGGTCACCATGACCCTGAGGAGCTGTCAGTAGTGGATCTGCAACCTCTTCCAGACCTGATTTAGTAGAATCAGCAACCGCTCCGGGTGCTTCCGACACATGTGAAGGCTGGATAAGCAAACCCAGGGAAACACATACATGTGATAAAATAGGGGTGACCAGCTCAGGAATTCAGGGTATTGGTTAGCTCAGGGGACAGGTAGGGCAGTGTATGCAGCCGGTGAAAGGTCACACAGGGCTTTCAAAGGTACAAGAAATGAATGCTTGGGTTTATTACTAATACATTATCAGTACATATAAATGATATATATCTCAACTTACATATCTTACAATAGGATATTTCTAAATGATACAAAAGCTTATGTTGAATGGTGGTACATGCCTTTAATCCCAGCACTCAGGAGGCAGAGTCAGGTGGATCTCTGTGAGTCCGAGGCCAGCCTGGTCTACAAGAACTAGTTCCAGGACAGGCACCAAAGCTACACAGAGAAACCCTGTCTCAAAAAAACAAACTAAAAACAAAAACAAAAAGCTTACTGCAAACGTGTCAACGCATCACTCCCTGACAACATTGTTTACTATGGTAAGAAGCAACGGATTTACTAGCTTTTGGTTTCTTATTTTTCTGTTTAAACTTGGGGGGAAAATAAACCTGAAACAAGCAAGCAGAAAATGTAGGGTTGCTATAACTGCTCCACACCCTATGGCCGTTGATGCCGTGTATCCAGGGGGAGGGGGGGGGCTGTGCACCAAGTTGTCCCAGCTGTCATTCTTCCCTACGGTCCAGGATTCTTTGATTCCTTCCTGAATGTTTCTGATTTAGTTGGGTGTTAACCCTGAGTGCCGAGAGAGGAGCTCTCCTATCCCGACGCAAGGCCGGTTCTAAGTCAATTTGAGTTTTTGTTTGCTTTTTCCCATTCTTCTAGGTGTAAATTTAGTAAAGGCAGGCGACATGCCTTGACCACAGAGAGTAATGGAAGTGGTTGAGAAGGTCATGCGTTCCCATCTCTAAAGGAGACACAGGGAAACATGCCGCTCTTCTCTCATTGGTAGAAACAGAATGCCCCATCCTAGCTTTGTTTTGTAAGTCGGCAAACCCCATGTATTTCATCTGCTTGTAACCGAGTCTTCTGATCCAGAGGAAAATATCCCAGCCAATAAACCTGTGTTTCCAGGTCCGTCTAGTTCAGTCACATTGCCCCGGCACACCAGAGTTAAACATTAAGGAAACAAAATCTGTGACATCTTTAACTTTTGTTCTATTCCCTGAGAAGTGATCTTGAGATTTAGGGAGATCAGAAGAGGCAGAAAAAGAGGTGGTGACCTTGCTTAAGGCACCAGTAGGGTCATATGAATTAGAATTCCACTTTTAGTATCATGCAGTCATTTAACAAAAATGCTCATAGTTTTCTGGGTCTCCTATACAGACTGCTCCCAGCTTTCACATTAAGGTCCCCTTGGAGAAAAGTGCCCGAGGCTATCCCGCTGGTAATGTCCGTGTGTGTTCTTCATGCGTCTATCCTATGATTATCTGTATTCTTGAATGGTCTCTCTCCCGCTGCGGCTCTTTTGCTCACCCCAGATGTTTCTGCAATGAGGGAACATATGTATTATTTATCTTCACTTCCGTCTTCCTCTCCCTTTCCTTCTCAGTCAGGCATACCAGTGCCGAACCATCTGAAGTCAGATGACATGTAAACAGCCAAGCTCGGGACAAGTAAATATTACACAATTTTGGAAGAAAGCTTTGTGCCGCTTTTGTTATAGCCTCAGAAACAGAACAGTTGGCTTCTGAAGTCACCTGAAGGACAAAACTGAAGATGGAGAAGCGCTGGCGCATGAACTGCGCATGCGTGCGATGTCCCCAGCGTCTCAGCCTGAGCAGTCTAACCACACTGCGCAGCCGTGGCTGAGCAGCATCTGAGTACAGAAGACTCCCCTGTGGTGCTGGGTTTTAGGCACGAGTAAGAACCAAAGGTGAAGCTGGGGATTGTGGCGCTCGCCTTTAATCCCAGTGCTTGAGAGGCAGAGGCAGAGGCGGGCAGAGTTCTGGGAGTTTGAGGCGAGGCCAGCCTGGTCTACAAAGAGAGTTCCCAGAACAGACAAGACTGTTACACAGAGAAATCCTATCTCGAAAAAAACCAAAGAACTGGAAAACCAAAAGAAAAAACAGAGGAAAAGAACCAAAGGCATAAGAAAGTGAATGTCAAGAACAGACGAGACGATGTAAATGAGAGAACCATAGCCTGCTCCAACTGTCTGGGCCGGATAACGCCGTCTTTTCTAGAGTGGGCCCTGCTGGTTGGAAAGCGTTTTCCAGCGAGCTGGGCTTTTTTGGAGGGACTTAGAATAGCTGCTCTGGAGCATTTCCACAGTGCCGTCATCTACCTTGGCGTGATCTCGTACACTCAAGTGTTTATCGTTTCAGTACAGGAAAGAAAAAGAACAAAGGGAAGGACATTTCACGGGTGGTAAGAGCCACAGACTGTCAGGTGTATAGACAGGTGGCTTACATTAGCAGGGTCAGGTGCCCTGAGTCTGAGGTCATTAGCTCAGAGTGTAAGGGACACTAAGTTACTGCCTGTGTGGAGACCTATGGAGATCTGGGTAGGCAGTGCATAGACCCTATGGTCAGAATGAGCCCCAAGGGGCAACCGACAGCCACTGTGAGCCACGGGGGAAGACATAGCAAAGACATCATTCCTCATACATAGTTGGGACCTTTAAAAAAATGGGGGTGGGAGGGAGAGCTCATTGGAATAATTCAGAAACTATTTCAGGAGAGCAAGTTAGAAACTGCAGGGAAGGTTTGGAGTAAGACTGGCGTCCGAAATCAAAACAAAGTGTTTGGGAAGGGGAGACACAGGCAAAGAAAAGTGCTCCTGTTTCCAGAGCAAAGCTTTAGAACGCCCTGCTGGGGTCGGAAGTGACGGGGCTGTGGGTGCTTCCTCAGGTGGCCCTCCCTGCTTTTGACAAACGAAGAAGAGCCAGCTCATTAGGGAGCAAACAGGCAGCTGCTGACAAGGGTGGGGGGGAGGGTTCTCTCTTCAGGTGATTTGTGCAACTAAACAAAAATGCTCATTCAAAGTAAACTGTACTCAGACTAGACCTCTTCACAAAATCCCGCACTCAGAGGCAAACCTGAGCCAGTAAACAACTTGGAACAGGCTTCCCCGCTAAGTACTTCCGTGTGTATATACTAGGCCCAGCTGTCCAAAGGACACCACAGAACTGTCCCCTCTGGCTTTGACAGTAAACCACTTGTCATTTTAAACAGTATTCATGCGGTGGGGGCGAAAGAATTTAGCGCATGTGAAGAGCACCTGGAAGGTGCGCTCTTCTGGGTCACGTCAGCACCACATGCCTCTCCTTGATACTCCTTCAGGTCAGTTCTGCAGAGTCCGACAGCTGGAGCTCCAGTCTGTCTTTCTGTCCTTCCAGCCACTCTAAACCCTTTGCTCTACAGAAGTTGCGTGGCCTGAGGGTAACTCAGTTCCACAACCATTTCAGGGCTTGGATGAGCAGACACTCTGTGATCCTTCCTATATTCAATGGTGTCATACATTCAAGAATATGTAAAAGGATAGTTGTTTTGTTTGTTTGTTTGTTTGCTTGTTTTTAGTTTTTTGAGACAGGGTTTCTCTGGGTAACCCTGACTGTCCTGGAACTCTCTCTCTCTCTCTCTCTCTCTTTCTCTCTCTCTCTGCAGACTAGGCTGGCCTCAAATTCACAGAGATCCACTTGCCTCTGCCTCCTGAGTGCTGGGATTAAAGGCGTGCGTCACCACCATCTGGTTAAAGATAGTATTTTTTTATAACTACTATTTTTAAATTGAAGCTTACTTCCACACTAAAATGGCTAAAGCATAGAAAATTGAGCACCATAATAAGCTCTTACTTATAGGGCTACGGTTAGCTTCCCCTTGTCTTCTGTGAGGAAAGAACTGAGAAGGCTGCGCATACCACACTCTATGACTGGTATTGTGTCCTTCTTGCCGGTGTCTGCCTGAGCTACCCCTGGTCAAAGACATTTTCACAGAGCCACCGCCTACCTTCGCAGAAGCTTCTGGAAAACACAGGCCCAGGATAGGAAACATCTTTCTGTGGGTGTCTAGTGACAGGACCCCAGGGGACGCTTCCATCTCCTTGTCTCAGGAAGACTAGAATAATAAGAAGCCTGCCAGGTCCAATGCCCCTTTGTCTGCTGAGTTCTATTTTTATTGGTTACTATTTAACCAATGGCTTGACATGAAAAATGAGTTAAATGTTCATAGACCTAAAATTTAACTGTAAGCTGAGCCTGTCACAATCAAATGTCTCCTTAAGACCCTGAGGACTGCGTTTCTTCAGTCTGGATGACACTATTGGAGACTAGGTCACAGCCAGCTCTCTCTGCTCAGGCTTATTCCGACGAGAGTGTCCCCACTGCCTGTCTCCTATAAACCAGGGGAAGAGGAGGGCACTGGAGGGCTTTATAGAACTGGGTCAGTGCCCTTAGTGCATCCACAAGAAAGATATGCAGGCACATGCTCTTATTTCTGACAAACGTGGGGTAGTATTTCAGGCCAAAGCTCTAGTCATAAAAAAGAGGAAATCGAGAGATATCACACTCTGGGCATGGTGGCACATGCCTTTAATCTCAGCATTCGGGGGACAGAGACAGGGGGATCAGGAGTTCAAGGGGACTCCAGTTACTTATGGGTTTGAGGCCAGGGTAGACTACATGAGACCTTGGCTTAAAAAAGCCAGAGACAGAGGTGGGAGGTAGAGGGAGAGAGAGGGAGAGAGACAGAAATGAGAGCAGGGAGAAGGCAGGAGAGGGACTGGGAGAGACGTGGGGGGGGGGGGCGCTGATTCATTGTAATGGACTTGGTGGCATATGGTGTCATCCTACTACTTAAGAGGAAAATGCCCGAAGAGAGCGGATGCTGTCTCAGAAACCAAGAAGAGGCTGGTGCACTGTGGCTAGGCCACACGTCTTATGAGAGAGACAGAGGCTAACACTGAGGGTGAGCAAAAGCCACAGTGCCTGTCTGATCTTAGGGATGGAGTTGATCTGCTCCAACCCCCAGACCTGGCACTGATGGACAGAGAGCCCCTGGAGACTGAAACACCCATGCCAGAGGAAAACATGCTACCTGTCCACCAAACCCAAAGACTGGCTTCTTCAAGGAAGGGAAGTTCATTTAGGACAAGATGGCTACCACATCATGACTTATTGCTTATTGAGCTGGTGTGCAGCCGAGAACCTGTGCCCTAGTGTGGCACTACTACCGGGTGGCACAGAGTTTAGCAACTCTTGGTACAGTTTCCACAGGCACAAATCAGTGTGGCCGCTCCATTCATTTTCAAAGAAATGTTAAGAATGTCTGGATTCTTTTGTGGTGATAATGATACGTTGGCTCCGAAAAGTAATTGTGACACATGGCAGCTGGTGATAATGAACCAGAGCTCCTCTTACAGGATGCAAGCCCTCAGAACTGCCCTTCTTAGAGAATGTCAAAACCGAGGCTCAGGGTGGACCACTGTCTCCGCTTAAGGTGATTAAGGTCCTGGCCACACAAGGCACTTGAAAGACAAATGTGATCCGAACTCTATGTGAGCGGTATTAGGGCCGATTATTTATATCGTACTTGGTTAACTTCCTGGATGCAAGATTTGGTAGCACTTTATTGATGGAACTGTCTGCATCCTCACGCTTCCTGAATCAATGGCTGGTCTCTTTGTAGTAGCTCATGCTTTGTTTTCTACTAGCAAAATAAAGGCTCAAACCAGAAAATGGGGAGAAAGTTTTCCTCGGGCCAACTCTGACTCAACTTTGAACAGAAGCCTATTATGGCATCACTACTATAGGAATCTATTTTTTGACTTCCATACTTATTTTGACTATACTATTTTCAGTTGGGATTTGAGAAGAAGCCAGATCTCAAACATGGAATCCATGTAATCAACATTTAGAAAGTGCCCAACAAAGCAAGCCCCGCCACTCCCCCGGTTAAGGCCAGCTACAGCAGTGGCTGAGTATTGTGGTGTAACTGTATCCCAACCAGGGGAAGATTTAACTGCGAATAAATATAAAGTCTTTTATCCCTCTTTTGTTTCCGGACATCTGGCAAACTCTGCAGTGCGATTTCAGTAGGAAGAGTAGAGACACAGGTTCTAGCTTGCTCTTGGCTGATATGTCCTCTTTTAACATTCTATCTTCCATTTTTGTCTGTTTATGTGTGTCCCTTCACATAAGACACACATGTGGCGATCAGAGGACGCCTCGCAGGTGTCAGTTATGTCCTTTTGCCACGCGGATTCCCGGGCTGAATTCAGGCCTTCGTGTTTGGGGATAAGTCCCTTTCCTAACTGAGCCATCTTTCTCACCGGCACCATTCTGAGCCCTGCTTTTGGAGAGAGGGTCTCATGGATTCCAGACTGGGTTCAAATTTAAGAGTTTAAAGGAGGATGACCGTAAACTTGTGATTGCTTTGCCTCTGCTGGAATGGTGGGGTCACAGGAGTGCTGGGGGCTGGACCCAGGGTTTCCTCCACATTTAGTGAGCCTTCTGCCGACAGAGCTATGCCCCCAGCCCCACTGTTTCTTGTTTTTGAAATATCCTGGGAAAGAAGAGCTAATTTAGCTTTTACTCACTTTATCTTCCAGCAAATTCTGTCAATACCTGCGTGGTATCTGGTTAGAAGGTTTTTCTGTGCTTTTATAAATAACTTGTGCAGGGCCTGGAGAGATGGCTCAATGGTTAAGAGCACTGGCTGCTCTTCCAGAGGACCTGAGTTCAATTCCCAGCACCCACATGGCAGCTCACTGCTGCCTGTAACTCCAGTTTCAGGGGAATCTGATGCCTTCACACCAATGCACATGAAATAAAGTTAAATAAAAATAAATAAATAAATAACTTGTGCAATTTTAAAGAATTTTAAGGTCGTCAGGATGAGATTAGGAGCAACAGACTTTATAATCTGCAATAAAAAAGCTGAGAGAAGAGGCAGATGATCTGATGCCTGGAGGCTGAACCACTGTGTGATTTCCCTCTTGAGTTCATGCTCCCTAATTTGTCCACATTAATATACTAGGGTACTGTGGTGGCTTCAATGAGAATGGCCCCCACAGGCTCATGTGTTTGGATGCTTGGTTCCCCAGTTGGTGGAACTGTTTGGGAAGGATTAGGAGGTGTGGCCTTGTTGGAGGAAGTGTGTCACAGGGGACGGGCTTCGGGTTTCAAAAGTCGACAGGTTCAATCTCTGTCTCCATGCCTCCTGCTTGTGGATCAGATGTAAGCTCTCAGCTACGCCTCCGGCACCATGCCTACCTGCTTGCCTGGGCACCATGAAGGTCATAGACTCTAACAGTCAGGAAACGTGCGGCACAGACTACATTCTTTGTTTTTGTATGTTGCCTTGGTCATGGTGTGTTATAAGGGCAGGCAACAAAAAAAGGAACCAAGGCAGGTATGTACAGTTTTCCCTTCTCACTAGATGTATTTAAAGTGTTGTTTCTTAATTATGTTTAGTCTTTCTAAAACACTAAGTATAAACTCAACCAAACCCCATCTAGTGTATGTAACACGGAGCTGAGCTGAGTTCAATTTGGAGGTGAGGGGGTGGACCTGAGAGTCAGACAGACTGGGATTCCGTCTCAGTTAAGTGACTGTGGTTTAGTGATGTTATGTTCGTGGCACAGGGATATATCTTAGTAATGTGCCCAATGAAATAACGTGACCTGTACGCTACATAAATGACAGTGAAGGCCATCTTCTTCATTATGGAAAGCACTGCGGAGACTTTGCTTTTAAGAATTTTAAGCAGCTGCATTCAGAAAGGACAGAATTTGGGTAATGGAAATGGATTGCCCCTTGATTGCTGGATGTGATGTCTGAAGACCAGGGTGATGCAAAGGGAGGGATGTCAGATGCTACATGGGACTCCTGGGCATGCAGGCTTGGGTGGAGGTGTGTGTGTGGGGGGCTCACTGTCATGGGGAGCATGTGCAAGTGAAGTCCCGGGGTGCAGGAGGCGCGCAGGTGTCACTTACGCGGGGGTAACGCCCTTGGGCAGCCCCAGGGCGTTGACAGCGACTGGTGGCGGCTGCGAGGGCAGCAGGGCGCTGAGGAAGGCTGCGGGCGTCTGGCCGGGGCCGAAGCGGGCGGGCGAGGCGCAGTGCGAGGAGCTGGGCAGTGGTGGCGGCGGCGGT